TCTGGAGAGTTTTTATCATAAATGGATGTTGAATTTTGTCAAAGGCTTTTTCTGCATCTATTGAGATAATCATAGTTTTTATCTTTCAATTTGTTAATGTGGTGTATTACATTGATTGCTTTGCGAATATTAAAGAATCCTTGCATTCCTGGGATAAAGCCCACTTGGTCATGATGTATGATCTTTTTAATGGCCTCCTAGAATGAGTTTGGAAGTTTGCATTCTTCTGTAATTTTCTGGAAGAGTTTGAGTAAAATAGGTGTTAGCTCTTCTCTAAATTTTTGGTAGAATTCAGCTGTGAAGCCATCTGGTCCTGGGCTTTTGTTTCCTGGAAGATTTCTGATTACAGTTTTGATTTCCATGCTTGTGATGGGTCTGTTAAGATCTTCTATTTCTTCCTGGTTCAGTTTTTGAAAGTTACACTTTTCTAAGAATTTGTCCATTTCTTCCAAGTTGTCCATTTTATTGGCATATAGCTGCTGGTAGTAGTCTCTTATGATCCTTTGTATTTCAGAGTTGTCTGTTGTGGTCTTTCCATTTTCACTTCTAATTTTGTTGATTTGGTTCTCCCTTTGTTTCTTGATTAGTCTGGCTAACAGTTTGTCAATTTTATTTACCTTTTCAAGAAAACAGCTTTTAGCTTTGTTGATTTTTGCTATGGTCTCTCTTGTTTCTTTTGCATTTATTTCTGCCCTAATTTTTAAGATTTCTTTCCTTCTACTAACCCTGGGGTTCTTCATTTCTTCCTTCTCTAGTTGCTTTAGGTGTAGAGTTAGGTTACTTATTTGACTTTTTTCTTGTTTCTTGAGGTAAGCCTGTAATGCTATGAACCTTCCCCTTAGCACTGCTTTTACAGTGTCCCATAGGTTTTGGGTTGTTGGGTTTTCATTTTCATTTGTTTCTATGCGTATTTTTATTTCTTTTTTTATTTCTTCTGTGATTTTTTTGGTTATTCAGAAGCGTGTTGAATAGCTCCATATGTTGGAATTTTTAATAGTTTTTTTCCTGTAATTGAGATCTAATCTTACTGCATTGTGGTCAGAAAAGATGACTGGAATGATTTCAATTTTTTTTAATTTACCAAGGCTATATTTATGGCCCAGGATGTGATCTATTCTGGAGAAGGTTTCGTGTGCACTTGAGAAAAAGGTGAAATTGATTGTTTTGGGGTGAAATGTCCTATAGATGTCAGTTAGGTCTAGCTGGACCATTGTGTATTGACAGGAATTTTGAAAATCACCTGTCATATCAAGAACCAAGAAACTTGCAACTTGAGTGAGAAAAGACAATCAATTATTAACACCAAGATGAATCAGATTTGAAACTGACTAGGAATTTTAATAGATTTAAGGGACTAGATCTGATAGAGTGCCTGATGACCTGTGGACAGAGGTTTGTGACACTGTACAGGAGACAGGAATCAACACCATCCCCAAGAAAAAGAAATGCAGAAAAGCAAAATGGCTGCCTGAGGAGGCCTTACAAATAGCTGTGAAAAGACGAGAAGTGAAAAGCAAAAGAGAAACGGAAAGATATACCCGTTTGAATGCAGAGTTCCAAAGAACAGCAAGGAGAGATAAGAAAGCCTTCCTCAGCAATCAGTGCAAAGAAATAGAGGAAAACAATAGAATGGGAAAGACTAGAGATCTCTTCAAGAAAATTAGAGATACCAAAGGAACATTTCATGCAGAGATGGGCTCAATAAAGGACAAAATGGTATGGACCTAACAGAAACAGAAGATATTAAGAAGAGGTGGCAAGAATACACAGAAGAACTGTACAAAAAAGACCTTCACAACACAGATAGTCACGATGGTGTGATCACTCACCTAGAGCCAGACATCCTGGAATGTGAAGTCAGGTGGGCCTTAGGAAGCATCATTAGGAACAAAGCTAGTGGAGGTGATGGAATTCCAGTTGAGCTATTTCAGGCCCTAAAAGATGATGCTGTGAAAGTCCTGCGCTCAGTATGTCAGCAAATTTGGAAAACTCAGCAGTGGCCCAGGACTGGAAAAGGTCAGTTTTCATTCCAGTCCCAAAGAAAGGAAATGCTGAAGAATGTTCAGACTACCACACAATTGCACTCATTTCACGCACTAGTAAAATAATGCTCAAAATTCTCCAAGCCAGGCTTCAACAGTACGTGAACCATGAACTTCCAGATGTTCAAGCTGGTTTTAGAAAAGGCAGAGGAACCAGGGATCAAATTGCCAACATCCACTGGATCATCGAAAAAGCAAGAGATTTCCAGAAAAACATCTACTTCTGCTTTATTGACTGTGCCAAAGCCTTTGACTGTGTGGAGCACAACTGTGGAAAATTCTGAGAGAGATGGAAATACCAGACTACCTGACCTGCCTCTTGAGAAACCTGTATGCAGGTCCAGAAGCAACAGTTAGAACTGGACATGGAACAACAGACTGGTTCCAATAGGAAAAGGAGTACGTCAAGGCTGTATATTGTCACCCTGCTTATTTAACTTATATGCAGAGTACATCATGAGAAACGCTGGGCTGGCGGAAGCACAAGCTGGAATCAAGATTGCTGGGAGAAATATCAATAACCTCAGATATGCAGATGACACCACCCTTAAGAAAGTGAAGAAGAACTAAAGAGCCCCTTGATAAAAGTGAAAGAGGAGAGTGAAAAAGTTGGCTTAAAGTTCAACATTCAGAAAACTAAGATCATGGCATCAGATCCCATCACTTCATGGGAAATAGATGGGGAAACAGTGGAAACAGTGTCAGACTTTATTTTTGGGGGGGCTCCAAAATCACTGCAGATGGTGACTGCAGCCATGAAATTAAAAGACGCTTACGCCTTGGAAGGAAGGTTATGACCAACCTAGACAGCATATTAAAAAGCAGAGACATTACTTTGTCAACAAAGGTCCGTCTAGTCAAGGCTATGGTTTTTCCAGTAGTCATGTATGGATGTGAGAGTTGGACTCTAAAGAAAGCTGAGCTCCAAAGAATTGATGCTTTTGAACTGTGGTGTTGGAGAAGATTCTTGAGAGTCCCTTGGACTGCAAGGAGATCCAACCAGTCCATCCTAAAGGAGATCAGTCCTGGGTGTCCATTGGTAGGACTGATGCTGAAACTGAAACTCCAGTACTTTGGCCACCTGATCCGACAAGCTGACTCATTTGAAAAGACCCTGATGCTGGGAAAGATTGAGGGCAGGAGGAGAAGGGAACGACAGAGGGAGATGGCTGGATGGCATCACCGACTCAATGGACACGGGTTTGGGTAAACTCCAGGAGTTGGTGATGGACAGGGAGGCCTGGTGTGCTGCGGTTCATGGGGTCCCAAAGCGTCTGACACGACTTAGTGACTGAACTGAACTGAGGAATTTTAAAGTGGCCATCATAAAAATGTCGTAATAAGCAATTACAAATCATTTGAAACAAGTAAATGAAAATGAAAATCTCAGCAAAAAAAATAGAAGTTACCAAAAAAGCGGGGAGGAAGCTTATAGAGCTACAAAATGCAATAATGGAAATTAAAGCAAAATGAACAAAATCTTAAGGATCTGGAGTACAACAAAAGATCCAGCATTCATAATCAGTGTCTGAGAAGGAGAAGGAGTGAGTTTGAAAAAGTATCTGAAGAAATAATAGCTGAAAACTTCCCAAATTTTGCAAAAGATGTAATTCTGCAGATTCAAGAAGCTGAGCAGGGACTTCCTTGATGGTCCAGTGGCTAAAACACTGCACTTCCAGTGCAGGGAGCCTGGTCAGGGAAACAGATCCGACATGCGGTAACTAAGAGTTTGCATGCCGCAACCAAAGATACTGCATACTGAAACTAGGGCCCAGTGTAACCAAATAAATAAATATATACATATTTTAAAAGCTGAGTGAATCTCAAATAGTATCAGTGTTCCCCCCCACTCGCAAAACAAATCTTCTCTAAGATATGTTAGTTAAACTTTTGAAATTAAAAGCAAAGAAAATACGCTGAGAGCAGCCCGAGAGAAGTGATACACTGCCTATAAAGGAACACCCAAGTTAGATGACAGCAGATGTCTTATTTGAGCATGGGAAAACAGATACTGTTATATACAGTTGGTGGGAATATTGGTTTGACCAACATATGTAAGGGCAGTTTGATAGTGATTTTAACATGTTCATTTACTTTGCTTCAGGAGTTCAAGTTACGGGAAGCTATCTATCATAAATATGCTTAATTACCTACAGTGACGTATTACGAGAGGTGTTCGCTTATAAAGACTAGAAATAGCTGAGCTATGGCCCAATAATGGGGAATGTTTTAAAATAAAGTAATACAAAGTAATACTTAAGAAGAAAAAGAAAAAAGAATTCTTCAAAGAGCATTATTAAGCATTATTAATAATTAGCATTATTAAGCTAATTATTGGTTTAACTTTCATAACACTTCTCAGTTTAAAAATGTGGTGAGGATACTTAACAGTGAACTCAACAGGTGCTTTGAATAGTTATGAACCATAAACACACCCAAACATAAATTCAAGGTACAATAAAACAACAGAAGTAACATTTAATGCACTATTCTGATCATCAGAGCACTGATTTCTGTGGGTAATTGAGTTGAACATAATACATATGTATTTTTGAAAAGTAGAAATCATATGTATTTATTAATGAAATATTCATAAATTAAAAAAAATGTATTTTCTGTCTATTCTTCAGGACCCAGCCTCATGTTATTCCTTCCGTATTAACTATTCAGTTCAGTTTATCACTGTCTCCTTTGTACTCTGATACCACACAAGATATACTAATGAATAATGTAGAAAAAAATTAAAGTTCACAATCGGTTATATACTTTAGCATCAAAATTTTAAGGTTAGAATCATACTGCTTATATCATTAATGCTATGTTCAAATAAGTGAAAATTAATGGGATTCAATGACTTAAGCTATTGTTAGATGGACTTTGATTTAAAGTTAAGTTTTTTTTTAAATTTTGTTTCTAACAAATATGTAATTTTATGTCTTTTTTTTTTTTCTTTTCTAGATTTCTGGAGGTGGAAGTGGAGTTGATCTTTCAGTGCTCAATGAGGCTCGCAATATGGTGTCAGATCTTCTGGTTGACCCCACCCTTCCTCCACAAGTCATTGCTTCCCTCCGGAGTATCAGTAGCTTGATGGGTGCTTTCTCAGGCTCCTGCAGGCCAAAGATTAATCCCCTCACACCATTTCCTGGATTTTATCCCTGCTCTGAGATAGAGGACCCAGCTGAGAAAGGAGATCGAAAACTTCACAAGGTCAAAATACAGTAATCAGCCAGCCCTATTTATCATGTTTAATAATGTTTTCAAATTAAAACTGCTCCTTTAACTCTTAGATAAAATAGAATTTCTTTTTAAAGGACTTGGTTCCTTTATAGTACATTGAGTTGCTTGGGACTTCAGAGGTGGTTATGATTTCAAATAGTTCAGTGTGAAGCAAGCATTCAGTTTTCATTCTGAATAATATTACTGTAATTAGCAGTTATAACTTTATTGGTAGCAACTATTTTTTATTATCTTTAAGAAGAAGAGAACAGAAGGAAAATTTATTTTCAGGCTGTACAGAAAACTAATAGTCAAATTGTGTCATTATTTTATTTTTGGAAACCAGGAATTCTTTTTGGACCAATAAAAAAAATGATCATTATAATAGTCATGAAATTCCATAGCATTATTTGAAATTGATTTTCACATTTTTTGGAACTCTCTGTACCTACCCACTGGAGATTACTGTAGCCCAGTAGGCACTGATTTTTCCATCACTAGATATGGGATTGATTTTTCTTTAAATATCATTGACCCAAATAGGAATTACTTTAGAAAATAATAAATACTGTTCTAAATAGGTATACATTATGCATGTTCAGAGTGCTTTTAATTCTTTTGTTTGGCTATCAATAGTCAAATTGATACCTTTACCTGTAGTTAATATAAAACTTTAAAAATAGAAATATTTTAGAAATTATTTTAACTACTTTGTTCCACTGGTTAAAGAAACTAAGAGAAGATGAAATTCCAATCAGTTAATTTTCATTGTAATAGTGTATATAGAGTTTAGAAAAAAGTTAAATATAGTTTTTGGAGACTTTGATCATCAATTGATTATATTAATTCTCAGCATTGTTATATAGAAACGTTGAAAAATTAAGTATGCCTGATGAGGGCAAAATTTTGGTAATTATTGATCACAAATCTGGATCATAAGTAGTTGTGATGCTTTTATTTTTAAAGTGTATAGAATAGCAGTTGCATTACTCAAAACCCAAAGGTAGTTACACACATTTTTTTTAAAGCACTCTACCAGTGAGAAAGAGGTTAATCACAGCATCAAATAGGGATAGCAGTAAATTCATCAATAAAATAATTAATATGTTTTGAGTTATTAATGGTTTTCATTTGGTATGTTGCTCTTCCTTTATATTTTCCATTGGCATCTGAGGTTTCAAATAGTAATTTTAAAAAGTAATAATTCTTAAAACTTAGTCATAAAAATTGCATTGAGGGAGTTCACTGGCTGCCTCGTGGTTAGAATTCCAGGCTTTCCCTACTGTGGCCTGGGTTCAGTCCCTGGTTGGAGAACTGAGATCCTGCAAGCCATGCAGCCAGGCGAAGAAATTTTAAAAAATCACATTGATATCAGTATTATGTTTGTTACCATGTTTACTATGTAGCAAAGTGTACTGGTACATTTTAGAAACATTTTAAGTAAACAGGATGCCTAATTGCCTCATTTCCTGAATATTCTAGGTAATCAGGCTTAAATTTGAGTACTCCAATTTACTGATAGGAATAAGTCATAGAAGAATCAGGAAGTAACCCTTATTTCTTTTCTTTGTGTTCTTTTAACTTCTTACTTAAAATTTCATATCTAATTTATCTCTGCCTTGGGAAAGAATATAAAAAGCCTGGTGTTACTTAAAAGAGCAAAAGCATTATGAAAAAAGTAAAGAAAAGGGACTTAGATGATTTAAAGCAAATGTCTTATATACATGATAAGAACTAAGAAAGATTATATGGACCTAAATTATAGTCAGAAAGGATGTTACATAAACAACTTTTTCAGTGTAAATGTAACTAACATTGAATCTTTATAAAATCAACATCCTTGGGAAACCTTAAATATAAGACATATTTATCTCTCTGAGATGGTTTCATGTCTGCTTATAGGGGAAATTCATAAGAAGCAGAAACTGTTTTATGTCAATTTCCCTAAAACACCTAATTCAGAGTGGTCAAAAATGGAATATTCTGGGTTAACATTTGGATTAACTGAGAATGTTTTCAAAAATTAGGATAAATATTCTTAATGTGAAAGGTGTTCTGAATTTAATGTAGTCATTAATTCAGAACCTCAGAACTCTGCAGTTTAGTGTTGTACCTAAAATATAAAAGCTTTAGGAAATAGGGCTTATCCCCGATCCTAAGCTTGGCCTCTAAAAGTCATTTTTTCAGGGTAAATCTACTTTTAAAATTGTCAGTTGCTTATTTCTCACAAAACTAGGAATAAAATGTACAAAAGAAAAAATGTGTGGTTAAACTATCAGGAATTCAGAAACCAGTTTTTAAATAGGAGGAAGGTAAATAAAAGAGCAGTGTAGACTGTGATATTTGCAGTAAAACATATTCGTTCTGCTTCTCCTATACATGTTAAAAATGTACAGTTGGTTCTTGAATGACCAACTGGGTTTGACCAGGTGGGTTTGAACTGTGTGGCCCTGCTTCTGTGCAGTATCTTTTCCAGTAGTGAATACTACAGTTCTGTACCATCTGTGGTTGGTGGGATCCATGGATGGAGAATCTCAGATATGGAGGAAGAACACGGGGGGAGGGCCCGCTGTAAATGACACCTGGATATTCAACTGCATGAAGGATATTGGTGCCCCTAACTCCCAGGTTGTTCAAGGATTAGTTGTACTTTGTACTGATATTTTCATGTACTATCTTTAGCATCACACTTACAGTATGTTAAAGGGTAACAATTTTGACCACTGTTAAATTACTCAACAGGGGCTAAACAGTAGGAATAGTTTACCAACCCCACATCTGAGGAGGAGCTCGGGAACCTCAGGTCTGCCACCTATCGACCAGACTTCTCCAAGGTGGGAACGCAATAATGGCAAACGGCCTCACCAAGAATTTGGCATTTTAAGGTAAATTCCCCAGAGCATTTTCAAGAAGCCTGAATCTCCTACAGCCACTTTGTTTCTGTGAATGAAGTGTGAAATAATTTTGAAAGCCTAAAGGAACCCTGGAAGTGTTTTAGGTATAGGACAGCATGGTTTGTAACGTGGCCTGGTAGAGAAACTGATCCTTAAAAAGAAGGTAATCTGCCTTCTCCACCCAAAATAGGCAAGTCAGGTACAAAGCTTGCTGGAGCCCTGAGAACATGAACCAGGGAGGCAGTGTAAGAACACGAGGATCAGTTTTGGTTGTGAAACTGGGAAAGCCACGGTAGAGGTGCCCATATCAGGGGCAGTCGTCAGTCCACTGCTGAGTTTTCATGTCGGTCCACAGTTTCTGACCTGTGAAAGCAGGAGCACCCCCAAGGTTCACCCCAGATGCTGCCTCAGACGTGAGGTACAGGTAGCAGCACACTTTCAAGCCCTGTTCCTTTGGGGAACTAAGACTACTGATACATTCTATATCCTCTTGAGGATTTACCTGGAGGTAAGCAGTGCTTATCCTTCAAAGGAAGTGCGCTGGTAACTACAAGCCAGGTGAGCCTGGGAGGTAGCGGGACCCAAGATCTTCTGAATGTAAGCATATCCATTTACTCTGAAAACAAAGGATTCGATACCTTTGCTTTTTGAGGGCCAGGACAGATGTTTATCTCCTGTGTGAGTTATAGGCTTTTATGTAGTCAGTTATATAACCATAGTTAATACAATTGGAATCAATGTAAATTTCCTGTTAAACCACTCTGTTAGGGCTTGAGCATGTGTTGGTCTTTAATAACTTGATCTGTGTAGTTACACATTTGAAACAGTAGGTGGCAGTGTTGGATCAGAGCTATTTCTGTTCAACTTTGTATTAGCATTTTATAAATGAAATATGATCAGATAATTGTAATTTTCCAGATTCTTCTGTGATTTATTAATTTGAATCTTCTGCAATACGTTCAACTAAATGAAACTCCATTTTTGTAAAAGAAAAACTGAGTGAAATGATATATAAAACAAGAATGGATTCAAGTGTGAAGAGAACATTACAGGAAAATGAGCTTCGGTCCAGAGCTTGCCCAGAGCTTAAACATGATAATGGTTTTTGTTGCTGTTGTTTCTTTTCTTTTTTTTTAAATAACGGAAGCAGGATATGACGAAATAAATGACGTTAGGAACTGAAAATACGACAGGTATTTCTTAACCCTGGGAGACATCATCTTGAGAATATTTTTGAGTTTAAGAAAGAATGATGAAAATGATTCTATTTTTTCATCTTTCCATCACACTGACGTAACAGCAACGCTTTTGAAATTAAAGAAATGTCTGATACATTGAGTTAAGGTTATTTTTATCCTACTGCTTCCACATGATTGATAATAAAATAGAAACATGGTCCAAGGAAAACTAATTTTTATATGAACATATCTCAGAATTAAAGGTAAATGCAGGCAGATTCAGTATATTTACTTAATATTCATTAGAACAAAATTATGCCTCATAAAAAATTTAGAACGTTAAAGGATAAAGTAATTGGTGGTATTATGAAACATCTCCTTTAAAGAGGAGAGGTTAGAAGGAATTTTTCTAGTATGCAGAAGCTGGAGCTGCTATGTAATGAATTTCTAAGTGCACTTTGAACATAGAGTAAAGGGGAAAATGTGAAGCATTTACAATCCTCTTCCTTTTGAAATTCAAGTCTCTGGATCAGTACTGTCCAGTAGATAAGTCTGTGATGATGGGAATGTTTTATAGCTATACATCCAGTTTGGTTCTCTCTAGGTACATGTCTCTATTGATCATTTGAAATGTGTCTATAATTACTAAGGAACTTTATTTAAAGTTGATTTGATTTTAATTAGTTAAAATACAAAGAGCCATACTCAGCTATCATACAGACAGACCTAAATGGCAACCATATTAGACAGCATAGCTATCAATCTTTAATGCATGGTGACATTTTGTTTGGGAACCTCCAGGTTTTAGAAGCATAGAACTAACAGGCTTGTGACTGAACTCATGAGGCATTTGTTTCAAATTTATTAGAGTACTCCAGAATGGAGAGCACATTTCCTAGTTTTGACATTAATGCAGCTCTAGATTCTGATCATAAGCTTCTCTATGATTTTAAATGACCCTGCCCAAGATTTCCAGAGAAGGCAATGGCACTCCACTTCAGTACTCTTGCCTGGAAAATCCCATGGATGGAGGAGCCTGATAGGCTGAAGTCCATGGGGTCGCTAAGAGTCGGACATGACTGAGCGACTTCCCTTTCACTTTTCACTTTCATGCATTGGAGAAGGAAATGGCAACTCACTCCAGTGTTCTTGCCTGGAGAATCCCAGGGATGGAGGAACCTGGTGGGCTGCCGTCTATGGGGTCACACAGACTCGGACACGACTGAAGCGACTTAGTAGCAGCAGCAGCCCAAGATTTCAACATGATGTAAATATTGAACCTCTTGCTCCCTGAAACTATGTCTGAAACCTAATTTCTCATCTCTTCAGCTGCTTTTCCCTTGTTAGTATTATTCTGTCCTCATTTCCTGGCACAGTGCTGGCTATAATCCTCTAGTTTTGTGGTTGCTTACAAAACTGATTTACCTAGAAAACCTTGGTGTTGTCCTTACATCCTGTTTCCTTACTCTACAGATAACAGCTATCACATCTAATCTCCAAAACTCTTTACCTCTCTATTTCCTTTTTCCTTTATCACTTTGCCTACATTATTTCATGCTTTCATTACTGCTTTTGTGGGCTGTTGATTATCCTTCCCATTTCTAATATTCTTCACTACCCAATCCATTTTCTACCTTCCACCAGAAATTGTCCTTAAACAAAATTTTGATTATATTGTTTTTTCTAATCATTAAGTTTTTGGACCTTTATCAGTGCATGTAGAATAGTGCCCCAATTCCTAGCCTGAAATTTGAAATTCTGTCACTCTCTCATGACAAAGCTACATCCTTACTTAGAAAAATTAAACAGCGATAGGTGAGCAGTCTTGCAAAGAAGAGGAGTAGAAAAATGGTCTGGAGAGCTCGCTACATGAAAATAACAAGCATGTAAGTTGTGTTAGATTCTTCCTTAAAGAAGACACTTCCTTGAAGAGGAAACTTCCTTGAAGTTTTCTCACAACTTTTTTAGTTTCACTCCCTTTGAAAATTAAGCTGAATTATACTTTTTAGCTGCCTTATTTGTGTAAACTGTAATATAGGACTTAATTTTTTTTTTTTAATGCTTTGCCTGGAGGAAAAAAATGGAAGTATTATGAACTTTGTGATAGGTACACTAGGAAAAACATAAGAGGTAGTTCTAGTTGAACAGCTGCTGTTGCCTGCTCTTCTTACCACTGTCATCTCTTAGAGGCCTTGAGATATTAATTAAGAAGGCCATTACCTTTTAACACAAGAATACCTCTCCAGTATCACTTTCATTTATCTGAAACTCCAGTCAAGTTAAACTGTTTGATATTCCCTCTGTTTGTGCACATGTGTGCCCCACTACCTACAATAGACCTCTCACCCTTACTTCTGTATGTTCTTAAAGACTGGGCTCAGACGTCCCAGCTAAAGAGTAACACCCTGACACCCCCTCCTCTCTTCTCTCAGGAGAAGTAATCTGTTTCGCCTCTGAATCTCCTTAACACCTTTCTTTGCTCTTTCATGGAAATTTTCATTTCCTACCTGTTTTAGACATTCCGACCCTTCTGAGACCTGCTGGCCTACTGTGAAGAGTTTGGGATTACATTAAAATGGGTCTTTGAAGATAAACAGCTGCTTAACAAGTATCCTGCAGGAGTATGCTATCCACATGACACTGGATACTGCTTTCTGCTTCACTTTCAGACCTAGGATAAAGTTCTGCTGGTCAGGAAATTCCAACAAGGGTTAAATTAATGTTTTGGGGGGCTAGCTGACAGTTGAATTATCCAGGCACAGCGTTAGTATCTAGAGTTGAAAGCTTGGCTGAACTGCTCTCCATGGACCGCTGGGACCCAGACCCTCCCTGTGGACAGACAAATTCAGAGCTCACAGCTCATTTCCTTTGAACAAATTTTCCCTGGGGAAACACAGGCAAATCCTGTACCAAAACTTTGAGGGCTATCAGCTGTATGTACTCCCACACCAAAGAGGCTTGCCTTTAACCTATTCCGATTCATCATTCATCGCGGTAAGTGCTCTTTAATTAAACCTAATAATGCTGCCTGGCAATAGTATGTCCCCTAAATAATATATTTGGGAACCAGCTTCTCAATTATGTGTCTCATAATTTATTAGCAAATTATACCAAAGCCTGGACTCTGTTTGAACTGCAGAGATTCAAGACAGCTAACTGGTGTCATCCCACACAGTTCTTAAGATAATAAGTCTGCAAAATCTGGACATTGTACAGCCAACAAGTTTTTACAGCTACTTAAAAAATAATAATAATACATGAAGTGATATAAACCTTGTCAAGGTAATTTGCATTGATTGTCTTAGAAATCAGCTGTTAACATATGGCTTAACTCTATGACCATAACATTTGACATCTCTTGCAATGTAACTCTGACTTTAATCATCTTCCTGCCAACTATTAATAATCACTGGGACTCCTAACCTATCTTGCCCTCTATTTTCTTCAGTATTGTTTTATATAATCTCATTACGGTAAATATTTATCTGGTTCTAGGCAAAGAATTAATGGGATCATTCTGGAACTGAGCTGAAAACCTGTAATTTGACCTATACTTCTCAATTCTAAACAACTAACCATTTTAATTACTAGAAGATACCCCCCACCCCCGTTCAGGTAGAAGACTAGCGAGTGTGCTTCAGGGCTCTTCTCTGAAGGAGAAAAACCTGTCTTTGTTTTGAATATTAATAAGGAAGTAGGTGTTGGCAGAGTACACAGATTGTTCTATTTGAATATTGCCCTGGGTGGCATTGCTACTCTTCTTTCCCCATCTCTCCCACTCCTTTTGAAGGCAATGAATATTCAAATACAAAGAATGATTGCACACTGATAAGGAGATGAGTTTATTGAGTGTTATTATGTACATATTGCCTCTTTTTTAAACATTGCCAACAAATTATTATTACTATTAGCTTGAGCAAAAAAATTACAGAACCTAGAGGCTAGATGTTGTCTTAGAAGTTCTTTATTCTAAACTTCTAATTTTACAGGTGGAGAAACACACAAAGATAACATCAGAATTGTCTTGTGGAAAGGGCATACACTTCAGAGTCAGAAAAATTTAAGAGTCAGAGAAATTTGAAGTTGAATTTTATCTCTGCCACTGTGAATTTTAGCTTAACACAATACTAATCCTCTCAGAGCCTCAGTTTTCTTATCTAATAACAGAGTTGTTCAGATGACTAAAAGAGATGAAGTGTGCAAATCACCTAAAATAATGGATGATACATAATATTCAAAAGTGCTATTATTTTTTATAATTTTTATTCACAAAAATTTTTCTGTTGATAAACTGGTTGCCAACTGCTTTTACATGCCTTCTGTTTGTTATCCAGATTTTTTTTTCTCTCGTAAGACTATAAGACAAACTAGGTTTCGAGAAAAAGACCCAAAGAAAGCCTCGAAGCAGGAGTGAGCAAGAGAGTCCATTCACTCAGAACTGGAGGGAGAAAAGATCTGTTCTCTTGAAAAGTGAGGATAGCAACCTAAAGACAGGATCATTCATTTAATCCAGGAATGTCTCCTGAACACCTTTGCCCGGCACCGACTGTGCTGTGTCCACAACTGAATGAAGAGGTGTATCTTAGGCCCCTGAAAGGAATGCACAAGTTAATAGGCATAGGAACCTGTGAACACAGAAACTGTAATATGGTATGGGTATATATTATAACAGAGACATGGACTGTAACCTCTAAGGTCACAGAAAAATAGATCTTCCTTGAGTAAGGGGGTATGGGAGTACACAAAAAATGGAGCTGGAGGGAGGGGGTAGTTTACTGAGAACTCAGCCTATACTAACAAAACATTGAGTGAAAAATAAAGACTCGAGATTTGTTCTTAATCCTGTGGCCAAAGTGCCCACATCAGGGTTGACTAACAGAAGAAAACAGGCTAGTGAATATCTAAGAAAGGAAGTATTATGTGTATGGCCCTCGGCCAAGGGCTTTAAAATATGTAATCTTAAAATGCATTTTATATATCAATTGGTATACCATGATTGCTCACCTATATTTAATTTCTTCATAAGAACCCTAAAACCTGCAATAAATATTTCAGTTACAGGATATGACTGTGTTAATGGGTAATCAATTATCTGTGAAGAAGGGGAGCGGAAGACAGTGAAAAACTGTGTGTTTTAGGTCGGTAATTGTCAGTGAGGTCCCTGGACCACCTACGCACTTGTCAGACACGCCAGTCTGTGACCTTTCCCCAGACCTATTGAATCAGAAATCTTGGTGACGGGAGTAGCAGTCTTTGTTACAGGGAGCTCTCCGGTGATGCTGATAATCTGCTTCTTGCCAGGGTTCAGCAGATTACAGCCTGTGGATCTAATGAGGCCCACACCTGTTTTTCTGTCAATAAAATTATATTGAATACATGATTATACTAATTTGTTTATCATTGGTTATGGTTGTTTTTATACTGCAGTGGCAGAATTGAGCAATTGCAGAGACCTTATGGCTTGCAAAGTCCGAAGTATTTACTACTTGGTTCTTTACAGAAAAAGTTTGCTGGTGCCTGCTTTACTCCTTAGGCACTGAGACAAGTGCCTAAACTAGATGTATAAGCAGGTATTTGCTAATGAATTGAAGGCCATGAGGAAAAAAATGAATATTTCATGTTTTTAAAAATCTTAACCTGTTATCTTTCCCTTTTAGTCAAGGATGCTATCTAAATGGGCCTTTTAGTTCAAATCTACTGACAGTCCCGAAGCAAAGGTCGTCATCTGTATCGTTAACTCACCATGTAGGTCTAAGAAGAGCTGGTAAGAAATCATTCTTTGTGACTTAAATATGGGAGGTCTCAAACTATATGGTAGTGCAGACTTTTCATTGCCTATTAATAGTTGAGAATATATTTTCTCAGATATGAATAGAAACTATTCTTAGCTGAGAACAGGGTTTTCATTACCTATTCACAGATGAGATGGTTGGATGGCATCACTGACTCAATGGACATGAGCTTGAGCAAACTCTGGGAGATAGTGGAAGGACAGGAAAGCCTGGTGTGCTGCAGTTCATGGGGTCACAAAGAGTTGGACACAACTTAGCGACTGAAGAACAACACTCATAGCTAATTTTGAATACCATTTCGTGTGTTCTAAGTTAGCATAAAACTAAGCCGTTTGGGTTAGCTATTAGTTGACAGTTTGCTCATTCGTTTGTTAATTTTTGAACATATACTATGTATCAGGAACTTTGTTAGGCACTGAGGATTCAGGGGTAAAATAAAGAACTATTAAACCTGAATAGTTGCAGACAAAGAACAAAGGAAAACCCTCAGTAAAGGGCATTCTTTTGTAGCATGGTGATTGTAGAGGGAGAAAAAAAAATATGTGAGTAGGAAAAACCCTGACTATATCCTATATCCTAATAAGCCACCCTTAATAGAATCTTTGTCTGGGGGTGGAGATGGGGGCTGTTAATTGACATATTTTTAGTTTCAGGTGTACAACAAATGATTTGATGTTTGTGTATACTATAAAATGTTCACCATAATGAGTCTAGTTAACATCTGTCACCATAGTTACAAGTTTTTTTCTGGTGATGAGAACTTTCAAGATCTATTCTCCTAACTTTCAAATACACAATACAGTATTATTAACTATAGTCACCGAAGATGATGAAATGGCATATTTAAAGTATTGCAAAAACAAAAATTGCCAACCTGAAATTCTTTATCCAGTGAAGATATCCTTTAAAATTTAAGGTGAAATGACAGTTTTTTTATTCATAAAAGGTAAAATGTATTGCTTGTAGATGTGCACTACTGAGATTTAGCAAAGAAATTTCTTTAGGTAGGAGAAAAGTGATCCAGATTGAAGCATGGATCTGCAGGAATGAATGAAAAGCACTGGTAAGCCTAAATATGTGGGTGCATGAGAGAATATTGATCATTAAAACAATGACTCCCTGCAGTTTGCATAATGTATAAAGAAGTATATGGCAACAGTGGCATAAAGGGTGGGGAAAGGGGTACATTGGCTGTACTAGCAGTGGTTGAAAAGTACTAAAAATTTCTATTTCAAAAGAAACTCCTACTTCAAAGGTGTACATTGTAATATCCAGTGTGGCAGTCAAATAGATAAAAAAAGTGAAGTCGCTCAGTCGTGTCCAACTCTTTGTGACCCCATGGACTGTAGCCCACCAGGCTCCTCTGTCGATGGGATTCTCCAGGCAGGAATACTGGAGTGGGTTGCATGTCCTCCTCCAGGGGATCTTCCCGACCCAGGGATCAAACCTGGGTCTCCTGCATTGCAGACAGATTCTTTACCATCTGAGCCATCAGGGACAAAAATAGGAGCAAAAAACTAAACCGTTTCAGAATTTTGGAAGTTAACAAAAGCCAGAGAACACACTAGAAATCATCTGTACAAGAGAAACTGATTACTGAACCTTGGTGAGGCATTGGGTTCTGTGGCAGTTTAATTGAAGGCAGTTCCCAAACCCTCTCTCCCCAGCTCAGTGGTACTGCAGCTAAAAGCCACTAGCTTTTCAGTCATTAGAGTCTGACCTCTTTAAAAACTGCATTAAAAGCAACGACCTGAGAGTACGGTAAATGTTTTGTCCAAATTCACTGGAAAACGTCTTTGTTCCCAGGGTGTTGTGGATAATTCAGGTGACTGAGAGCTCAGCTCTCCAAAACAACAACAGCAACAAAAAACACCCACACCCTCTGCCAGCAGCATTGTGAGTGGGTAAAGCTGTGATTTCAACTGAGGCAAACAAGAACTGACTGAAAATTTAAAAGGAAATCCTGGACACTAGATGACCACAGGAAAGTGGAAAGCTCTGGCATGTGCCTGAAGATCTACTAGGCTGAGCACATGCTCAGGAAGGATTGGTGAAGGGAAGAGGCCCTGGCTGCTCCTCTGGTAGCAGGAAGTAAAAGCTGTCTTGTAAACTGCCTGGAAATTTGAAGTTGTAACTTTTCAAATATATTCCCATCAACAGATGATGACACATAGGCAAGACATTTAAAGAAATTTTCTGTCTCATCTAAATCATACTGACCCACAGGTGACTTCTAAGAAGTCAAGCATAAATCAAAGAGGAAAGGGGGAAAAAGGCATCAGAGCACTCAGTGGCTACACACCTCAATGAAAAAAAATCTACATTATGAGTCCAGGAGATCACTCAATGAATAGTCAAAAATAAAATGAACAAACACAAAATAAGCAACATAAACCTTGAGGGTGGGAGAGATCTGATACTAGAATTGTTACAGCATAGTACCTAAAATGTCCAGTTTTCAACAAAAAAATTTTATGAAGCATGAAAAGAAACAAGAATTTTTTGCCATATAGACAATGAAAAACAGCCAACAGAATTTCCCTGAGTGAGCTTGGACTTGGGATTTAGCAATGGCTTTAAATTTGCTAGCATTATATCTTTAAAGAACTTCAGGAAACCATATCTAAAGTAAGAAGAGTATGACGACAATATCTCACCAAAGAAAGAATATAAAGAACTAGAAATTATATGATAAAATTAAAAAAATAATTTGATTTGAATAATTATAAAATAATTACCACTTCTACTCAATATTGGGTTAGAGGTTCTACCCTGAGAAGTTTAGGTAAAAACAAATAAAAGGAAGATGTAAACTATTTGCCGACAACATCATCATATATTTATAAATCCTAAGAAATTCCTTAAAACCTATTACAACAAATAGATTAATCAGTGTGGCAGGATACAAAATCTGTATGCAAAAATCAATTACATTTCTATATACTAGCAATGAACAGTGCAAAACAAATTAAGAATTCCATTTAAAGTTAGCATCAAAAAGAATAAAATGCTTTGGGATAAATTTAGCAAAATAGTGCAAGACTCATACACTGAAAACTATAAAACGTTGAAATTAAAGAAGACCCAAATATGATTTTGTTGTTGTTTGGTACTGCACGGCATGTGGGGTCTTTGTTCCCCATCCAGAGACTGAATCTGTACCCCCAGCAGTGGAAATGTGGAGTCCTGTCAGGAAATTCCCAGAAAGACCCAAATAAATGGAAAGATATTCCATATTCATGGATCAGAAGACTTGGTGGTGTTAAGAGGGCAATAGTCCTCAAATTGTTCTAAACTTAGTACAGTCCTTAACAAAATCTGTGCTGGCTTCTTTGCAGAAATTTGACTGATCCTAAAATTCATGTCAGAATTCAAGGGACCCAGAGTAGCCAAAACAATCTTTAGTAAAAAGGAAAAAAAAAAAAATATCGAGAGATTCACACTTGTAAATTTAAACTTGCTACCAAGCTGCGGTTATCAAGACACTGATGGACAGTGACACTGGCATAAGGAAATTCCAAATCAATTGAAGAGAATTGAGAGTCCAGAAATAAACCGTTACATGGCCAGCTGATTTTCAGCCAGGGTGCCACAGTAATCCAATGGGGAAGGAACAGTGTTTTTAATAAATGATGCTGGAACACCTGGATAGATACACACACGAAAAAGAATGAATTTGAACCATACCTGTCATCATACTCAAAACTTAAGCTAAAATGCTCATAGACTCAAATATAAGTATGAAACCATAAAACTTGTAGAAGAAAACATAAGAGAAAATCTTTGTGACTTTGGATATTCTTAGATATGACACCAAAAGTATAGTGCATGAATGAAAAAAATTGATAATAGGAATTCATTAAAATTAAAAACATTTGCACTTCAAAAGACACCTAAAGAGAGAAGACAATCCATAAGATGGGAGAAAATATTTGCAAATTATAATTTGACAACGAACTTGTATTCAGAATAGACAAAGATGTCTTCAGTTCAGTCACTCAGGTATGTCCGACTCTTTGCAACTTCATGGGCTGCAGCATGCCAGGCTTCCCTGTCCATCACCAACTCTCAGAGCTTGCTCAAACTATTGTACATTGAGTCGGTGATGCCATCTAACCATCTCATCCTCTGTCGTCCCCTTCTCCTCCCTCCTTTGATCTTTCTCAGTGTCAGGGTCTTTTCCAGTAAGTCAGGTCTTCGCATCAGGTGGCCAGAGTCTTACAGAAGACATCTTACAACTCAGTAATAAAAACACAAATGATCTCACTAAAAAATTGGTGAAAGATTTGAATAGATGTTTCTCCAGAGGAGTTATACCAGTGGCCCTTACCCACATGAAAAGATACTTAGCATTATTAGTCATTAGGGAAATGCAAATCAAAACCACAGTGAACCATGACTTCACACCCACTATGGTGTCTGTAAATCTCAAGGCAGTATAACAAGAATTGGAAAAATGTTCAGAAGTAGGAACACTCATACATCACTGATGGGAAAGTAAAATGCTACAGTTACTTTGGAAGACAATTTGGCAGTTCAGTACTTGAATAGAGAAATAAAATTGTGCTATATTCATACATACAATTTTATATGTCATTCAAAATGAATGAACATGTGAAATATCTTTTAAAAATGTTGAGTGAAGTAAGCAAGGCATAAAAGCATTTATACTGCCTGATTCCATTTACAAAGTTCAGAGAAAGGGCAAAACTAATCTAAATTGTTAAAAGATATATATATATATATGTGCGACAAATATAAAGAAAGGCAAGAAAAACAGTACCATAATGTCAACATAATGCTTTTCTTTAATGAAAGGGCTGAGAATTAGGCACTGGATGTGGGTTTCTGAACTCTGGCCATGTTTTATATTTTAGTCTGAGTGGTGAGCATTCCTGTTACAACTTTCCTGTATGTTATACTTCACAGTTTAAAAGTTTTAGAATAAAAATGGTGAATCTGTGTTGTAGAAAGTATTTCTTAAGGGTTGCTAAGGTTTTTCACTACCATTTTGTCCTCTCCTCAAAAACTTTTCTACGTTATATCAAATTTCTACCCTAAAATTAGTTTATCCTTTATTCTTCTCAGCCTGGTTGTCAGAGCTTTGGACACTCACTAGTATAATCAGAGAAAAGAATGCTGAAAATTGGAACTTTAGTCTCCAGTTAATAACTAACTTATTATTTTGACAGGCAAGATAGTTCTCCTCTCTCATCCTCAGTTTCTTCTTCTGAAACATTAAAATGTGTTTGACCAGATTATTTATAAAACTCTTTTTTCAGCCCTAACATTATATGAGATTATAGGAGCCTCTAAACAGGTCAGTTTGATAGAACAGCAGTGGCAGCCTTGCATATGTAAAGTGAAAATGCTGTTTAATTCACAGAGTTATTATGAAGATTAAATAAAAGAACACACATTGTATTTGTCAGGGTTTCCAGAAAAACAGAACTAATAGGATGTTTGTGCATGTGTATATACCTGTACATACATACATATATATTGGAGAAGGAGAGAGTGATTGATTGATTGATGGGGATTGGCTTGCCAGATTGCCAGGTTCAAAACTATTAGGGCAGGCTGCCAACCTGGAAATTGTAGCAGGAGTCAGTATTGCAGTCTTGACTCTGAAGGCAATCTGCAAGCAAAATTCCTTCCTCTCTGGAGGGGCTGAGTTTTTTCTCTTAAGGCCTTTAACAAATTGAATGAGGCCAGCCCACATTGCAAAGGGTAATCTGTTTTATTCAGTCTAGTGATTTAGATGTTAATCGCATCTGAAAAATACTTTCACAGCAACATCTAGACTAGAATTTAACCAAACAACTGGGCATGATAGCCCAGCCAAGTTGACACACAAAATTAACCATCACACACATCTGTAACTATGTCTGAAAATACCATGATATCTTAATAGCTGTTATTTGCTTTCCTCTCTGATTCTCACTTTACTTGAATCTTTTCTTGAAATAAAGTTTTAAGTCTACCTACACCTCTCCAGCTACACCCTTAGTTGTATTAGTTGTATTAGTATTAGTTGTGTTAGTTGTATTAGTTGCCTTGAAGGCAACTAGCAAAGGCTCTTGAATAAATCAACAGGATTAGGGATGTATTTCCGAAGCACTTTTTTTCCCCTTAGTTTAACACTCTCTTACCACTTCTTTGCATTTTCCACTAGCCTTTTTTAGGTTTGTTGAACATTGTAGGGATGGCATCTTATTCTCTGTTGTGAAACCCAGCACATTTTCCAGCATATAATAGGCTCTCAAATACTTGTTGAATGAATGAATGAGCTGGAAAGATGTAGACTTTTTTTTAAGGGATCTGCTGTTGTGTTCATATAATTTTATCATATGCTCATATAATTTTATCATGCTCAACTTGCTCAGTGCTACTAAGAACTCTGTTTCTGAAATAAAAATGAATTTTATTGTATTGAAAAAATACAGTAAAGATGGTAAAAATGGCTAATCAGGCTGGTAGGGACACAAAATGTGAAAGATAAAGATCAATATGGATTAGGAAAAACTGTGCCACACATTATTGTGTACACATGTTATTATTATGCACATTTTCCTCATACTCTTAGTACTTACTACTGTGTGTCATCCTGCCACGGGGTGTTTATTCCACAGTCATTGATGATAACAAATATAGTCTATATTCTGCCTGAATTCGTAGAATGTCTTGATGATAGCTCCATGTAGAAATCTAGTTTATCATTTAATTGTAAATACTTTGCTTTCTTTAAAGAAGGAGAATGCTCTTTATAAGTACCCAAACATAGACAATAAACAGATAATGCATACATAATATCTCTTTCTTCTCTTTCAATTTTTTAGGTGGTTTACCAAGCCTGAATTCTCCCAGTCATGGACCAGTGTCTGCTGGCTCTCCAACTAACCGATCCCCTATAGAATTTCCTGATACTGCTGAACTTCTTACTAAACCAACTGTCATTTTACACAAATCTCTGAGCAATCCACCCAATTCACCAGATTTTTATCAGCAACTAAGAAATTCAGATAGCAATTTATGTAACAGGTAAGTTTCCCAGATGTTTATGGTTTCAAAATATAGGTTATTTTAATAAAATACTCCTAGTTTTCTAGTTCTATATTATAACTAGATGATTAATACTATATCCTTTTCTTCATGTAGTAGTTTTTATTCTAAACAATTTTTTTCTCATTTCCCTGCTCTTATTCATTTCCCAGCTAAATGATCTCCATCTAAGGGGAAATATAATGGTATTTTATCCATCATAAGATATCAGTAAATGTATGAAAATTATTTTAGTACTAATAATTTTATGTACTAATTTAGTACTTATAGTACCCAGTTCATTTGATGTTCATTTTCATTTCTGCTTTTACAGTAGTAACTGTTTACCTCCGATCCCAGGGTTACTTTCAAAATATGTTATTTCCTTCACAAGGACAAAGTTGTTTTCTAGGATGAAGCCTATTAAGTTTATAGAGAGATTGGAACATTAGGGTATTTTGCAGTTGGGATCTTACAGTTTAAAAAAACAGATTTTCTGACTGTATTTAGATAAAAACAAAACTTGTCTCATTTGTCATATATGCATATTTACCTGTTTTATTTTGTAAGCTGTGGACATCAAATACTGAAATATGACTCAGCATCTGAACCAGAGTCCGGTACAGACCGCCTCAAGGGAGAGTCAGGTGAGACTACAGAAGTCCTGTGTCTCTTAAGAACAGTCTTAACATTCCTTTTTAATGTGAATAAATGAGTTAAGATATACACCTTTAAAACGAAGATTACAATGCTTTATCTACTTCACAGAGGAGTTATTAGGAAATTATAAATAATAGATGGTGAAAGTATTTTGAAGGGTAAAAATGTGCTATATAAATTAACATAGTCTTATGTTACAGTTAGGCTTCATAAATAGTGAAATTATATTAACATTGAAATTTAAATTGCATTATGTAAGCTCAGAAGGGTTTGCATACATTTTAATAATTACACAAAGAAGTTGTTTTAAAATTTAGAAAGTTATATCATTCTGAAACGTACCCTCAAAAAATGAATATTGTTGGTGATAAAATTATAGTTGTTTTATAATCTTAAAACACGGGTGACTCAAAAATCCAGTAATAGTTAACTAGGTAACTCAGAGCAACATACCTCCTGAAGGTAGCTAGAAAAGTTACAAAGCATTAATATTAGCAGCAACAACAATCTGCTTGAAGCCGCTGAAGAACTAATCGGCTCCTCGGAATATCCAGGATGAGACCTGGAGGAGGAGAGAATCTAAGGAAGTGATAATCTCGAGTTTGGGGCTACCAAAACGTGTTTGCTGCTTCCAGATGGGCCAGTACTGATAGAACAAACTGTCCCTTTTGGTAGCTTCGTGGGACAGCTTCTTGGGACTAGGGAGATAAAGATTAGAGTTGAAAGTTTGCCATGATAGGATTAACTTGGTAAACTCTGCAGTACTGCATCTTAAGAGTAAAGATAAACCAGAACTAGATAGGCCCTTTCAGGGGTTACAGGTGAATATCAGTCTCTTCACATACTTTAAAATTCACCCTTCCGTAGTGTATCATTTAATAGTTTTGAGGGTTTACATTTTAAAAGATTAAAAAACAACAACAAAGAAGACCAATCCTTCACATACTTCCAAAAAACAGGAGGGCAAACTTCCCAACTCATTCTATAAATAAAACCAGTATTATTCTGATACCATAACTAGACAAAAGCATCACAAGAAGAGACAACTAGAGACCAACATTGCCAATACCCTTAACAAAATACTAGCACACTGAATCTTGCAAGATATAAAATGTCATATTCGTGACACTGGTATTTATACCAGGAATGCAAGGGTAGTATAGCATTTGAAAATTAATGAATGTAATACGCCCCATAAAGGGGGGGGGTGGGAAATCACATGATAATTAAATAAAAAACATTTGACAAAATCCAACACTCTTTCATGATGAAAACACTTGAACCAGTAGTATTAGGAAAGTTCTTCAACCTGATTACAGGCATCTTTGAAAGAAACACAAAATTTAACATCATCCTTACTGGAAAAAGACTGATGCTTTCCCACTAGGATCAAGAATAAAAGAAAGATTTTTTGCTTAAAACACTTCTATTCAATATAGTACTGTAGGTTCTAGCCAGGAAAATTTCTAGAACGATAAAAAGATTAGGAAATCCTGAATGGAAATAAATAAAACTCTTCTTATTCACAAATCATTTGTTTAAAAATTCCAAAGAATACACACACACACACACACACACAGAGTCACAAGAGACAAAATCAGTGTACAAAACCAACTGTATTTCTTTTTTTTTTTTTTTAATCAACTGTATTTCTGTATACCAGAAATGAACCCCCATAAACTGAAATTAAGAAAACCTTTCTAGGACTTCCCAATTGGTCCAGTGGTCAAGAAGCCACCTGCCAGTGAGGGTGTGTGTGTGTGTGCATGCTCAGTTGTGTCCAAGTCTTTGCAACCCCATGGACTGTAGCCCTCCAGGCTCCTCTGTCCATGGAATTTTCCAGGCAAGAATACTGGAGTGGGTTGCCATTTTTCTCCTCCAGGGGATCCTCCCAATCCAGAGATCAAACCTGGGTTTCCTGCGTTCTAGGCAGATTCTTTACAACTACACCACGGGAATTCCCTGGCCAGTGAGGGGTACACAGGTTCAATGCCTGGTCCAGGAGGATTCCAAATGCCACAGGGAAGCTAAGCCCATGCGCCACAGCTACTGAAGCAAGAGAAGCCACTTCAATGAGAAGCTCATGCGCTGCAACTAGAGAGAAGCCCCCACACTCCAAAACCAGAGGCACTCGCAATGAAGAACCAGTGCAGCCAAAAATAAATAAAACTACCAAAAAAAAAAAAAAATTTCCACTTAACAAGAGTATCAAAAAGAATAAAGTTAGAATAAATTTAACAAAAATATAGATTTATAAACTGAAAACTATAAAAGATTGTTGAGAAAAATTAAAGTCTAAATAAATTGAGAGATGTTGCAATAGCAAACAGATTGGAAAAAACAGTACTTTTAACAGAGCTGTTCTTCCAAATTGATCTATAAATTCATCCCAATTCTGATCAAATTCCACTAGGCTTTTTTTTTAAGTAGAAGTCGACAAGTTGGTGTTAAAATTTACATGGAAATACACATGACCTAAAAGTCAAAACAATTTGGAAAAACAACAAATTTGGAGGACTGATACTACCTGATTTCAAAACTTATTTCACCTTCAAAAGATGCCAATAACAAAATGAAAGACAAACCACAGATTGGGAGAAAAATTTGCAGTTATACATCCGATAAATGTCTTGTATCTGTGATGTATAACTTTTACAGCTCAATAGTAAGAAATCAACTAACTCAATTAAAACACAAGCAAAAGATTTTATATTTTCTGTTGAAAGACTTTTGGTGAAGGATATGAAGGATATAGAGAGTGGGTAGTAAATACATGAAAAATGATTAACGTCGTTAGGGAAATGCAAATTAATATTATACTGAGATACCAGTAAACAAGAATAGGCATAATCAAAAAGACAATACCAAGTGTTGGCAAAAATGCAGAGAAATTGGAACCTTGTACCTTGCTGATGGAAATAGAAAATGTTAAACCCTCTTCAGAAAACATTTTGACAGTTTCTTTAAAAGTTAGACATAGAGACTTGCCTGGTGGTCCAGTGGTTCACAGGTTTGATCCCTCATTGGGAAACTTAAGATCCTGCATGCTGTGTGGCACAGCCAAAAAAAAAACCAAAACACAAACAAAAAAATAAGACATAAACTTACCATATCATCCAGCACTAACAAGGATAAGAATTTACTTGAGAAAAAATAAGAGCACTGAAAGACAGGATTGTATCTGCTCATGACATCTTTATTCATGATAGTGCTAAACTGGAAATGATACAAATAAATGTTCATCAACTTGTAACTGAATAAATATTGTAGGATTCTAATTAACAAAAAAAGAGCAAACTTCTGATATATGCTGCTATGTGTATAAATTTTAAAACATTATTTTAAGTGAAGAAAACCAAACTAAAAAGATAATACACTGATTCTATTTATATGAAATTCTAGAAAATGCAGATTTATAGTGATTATAGTTAATTGGAATAGCAGTTGCCTGGGAATAAGGTTTAACTGTAAATAGGCATGAGGATATTTTTTGAAGTCAACTTTAGTCGTGTCCAACTCTTTGTGACCCCATGGACTGACTGTAGTCCACTAGGCTTCTCTGTTATGGGATTCTCCAGGCAAGAATACTAGAGTGGGCTGCCAGGCCCTCCTCCAAGGGATCTTCCCAAACCTCCTGTATTGGCAGGCGGGTTCTTTAACCACCTAGCCCCACCTGGGAAGCCCCTTTTGAGGTGATGTGAATGTTCTAAAACTAGATTGTCATGCACAGAGAACAGACATTTGGTTGCCAAGAGGGAGAGGGGTGGGGTAGAGATGAAGTGGGAGGTAGGTTTTAGCAGATGTGCAAAGTATTCTATAAAGAATGGGTAAACAACAAGGTCCTACTATATAGCACAGAGAACTATATTCAGTATCTTATGGTAAATCATAATGGAAAAGAGGACTATAAAAGAATGTAGGGCTTTCCTGGCAGTCCAGTGTTTTAGGATGCTGTACTTCCACTGCAGGGGCTGCAGATTAGATAGATCCCTTTTGGAGGAACTAAAATCTTGCCTGCTGCTGGGCCAAAAAAATTTTTTTTAATTTAAAAAATTAAGATAATAAAGAATATATATGAATAAAAATCACTGTGCTTTACAGCAGAAATTAACACACCTTGTAAATCAACTGTACTTCAATAAAAATGAATGAATAAATAAGCCTAGTTTTTCTGAAAGTCAACTCAAATGAGTGCTCTTAAAAACACTCAAAAAAACATTTTATTTTTAAAAAATCCCTACATATTTAAAAATAAATAAACCTGGGGTTTGTGGCTTGATAAATTTTCATACATCTAACATACACATCTAATCGGCATCCAGATCAATAAAATATTCCCAGCACCCCAGAAATTCCTCCCATGTCTGCTTCCAGGAATTGCTCCCCCAAAGATAATGTTTATCCTGTCTTTCAGTATTCATGTGTATCAGTTTTGATATGTTTTTTTAACTTTTCATAAAGAGAATCACAGAGTATACCTGTGTGTCTTCCTTCATTTGACATTGTATTTTTAAAAACTATATTGATGCATGTGGTTATAGTTTATTCTTTTTGCTCTGCAGTGTTCAATTGTGTGAATACACTACAGTTTATTTATTTTACTGTTGATAGGTTTGGGGAAAGTTTCTTGTTTAGTCTATTACAAATAGAATGAGTATGAATATTTTTTTGTATATGAATGAACACTATTAGCCACCCATTTCCATGTAATGCATCCCATTTCCATGTAATTTGGTGAAAAGAACATTATTAATGACATTAGCAGCGAAATAATTCATGACATTGTTTTAATTTTTAGATGTGCCTTAATCTCATCCATAGTTATGATTTTAGAATTTTCATATCCAAAACTCAAATAATTTCAAGTATTAGGAATTGTTTACATGAAACTGGTTTAAAAAAATTCCTATTGAGAGGGACTGACATTCTCAGTTTCTCATTTTTACAGTGAATATTCACCCATCTCTTGCATTCATGAGTAGCTATATCAGGTGAAACATTGCCTGAGCACAAGGTACCCATGCCAAATGGTCCAGCAAGATACAACTTAATTGTGTCAGTTTAGATTGAATGCCAGTATGGTTCAATTTATCTGAATATTTTTTACAAACTTTTCCTATAAAGTTGTTCATGTAGGACAAGTTTTATTCTTGTTTGTTACTTTATATATGTTTTGAAAGGTGATGAAGACAATGCCACTTTCTCAAAAGCATCATTCAGCCTTACCGAAGCTCAACAAGAAGTGGAAACAGAAAACAGAGACTTCAGGAAATTACTTTGGGAAGGTGATAATCACCTAAAAGAAGCAGCACAGAAAGAAGAGCAACCAAATGTAAAAGATAAACTTTCAATATGATTATGTTAAGGTGAAATATATTATTAGTTAGTACTAAGTTTATTATTTTTTGCCCAGAACAAGGCTTTTAATACAATAATTTTCTTAAAGTTTTTACTGAAAAGTCGCTGTGACACCTGAAAGAAAAATGTCTTTAAATAAATGAGGGGTTTGGGATTAACATATACAGACTACTATATATAAAATAGATAAACAACAAAGACCTAAAGTATAGCACGGGGAACTCGACTCAATATTCTATAATAACCTATATGAGGAAAGAATCTGAAAAAGAATAGATATATGTGTATGTATAACTGAATTACTTTGCCATACATCTGAAACTAACACAACAGTGAAAATTAACTATATTCCAATATAAAATAAAAATTAAAAAAAAGGAAAACCTTGAATTAAAAAAAAATTAAAACTCATCATCCTAGAACTGAGTGCATTCATTTTTAAATGAACACATTTCTTTAGTTTTATAGTCAATATATTCTCTATGCTATTATTTTCATTGTATATGTTACACTGAGACAATAAAGTATGTGCAGTCATTAAAAACAATGAAAATAATCTATAATCATAGGGTTTTTTTTCCCCAAAAATTCAAGCTTTTTAGGGGGAAAAAAATTCATCCATTTCCTTTGAGAAGTTGTCCTAGTAACAAATGTCAGTATAAGGATCTAAGTTTCTCTCTACTATGTTATCCTGTGATCTCTTTAACTTCCAAAATGAAAATAATGAATTTTAGATTTGTGTAGTCTTTTGGAAATAAAATTTTTATTTATAAAAGTAGTATAATGACGTAAGTCTTTTGATGCGTAGTAGACATGTTTATATTTGTCTGGAGATAACATTCTACAAAGAGAATTATTAGGAAGTACAGTTTATATTTGAGAATAACCATTATAGAAAATAATATTGACCATTTTTTATTCATTTTTAAGTGTTCTCATTTAGCTGCAGATATAATATTTATAAAAGGTAAGGTTAAGTTGGTTTGGTTTTTTTCCCCCCACATGTACAGATTGAACAAGAAGCATCACAGGATGTGATTTTAATAGAAGATTATGACTCATTAATAGAAAATATGAGTAACTGGAATTTTCAAATTTTTGAATTTGTAGAAAAGATGGGAGAGAAATCAGGAAGGATCCTCAGTCAGGTTTGTTTCATATCTCTACTGCTTTAGTTTTTCCTTGAATCTTTATAAAAAGCAAACTCTAAAGATTATATTGGTTTACATATAAATTCAGCATTGTTCACTGAATTATTTTTTTCACAAATAAAGTTTTCAGTAGAAAATTTGAAAAGAGAAACCTAAATATGTAAAGTCATATATATATAAGCACAATCTATTATAAAGTACTTATAATTTATGTATATATGAAAAGTAGTTTATTTGTCCATAATAATGGGGTTTAATTTATACTAAAGGAGTAATAAAGGTTCACTTTTTATTGAATCTTAAGATTTAAAAGGACATGAAAGGTGATCTAGTTCTTTGGACTGAAACTTCAGTTCAGTTGCTCAGTCGTGTCTGACTCTTTGTGACCCCATGGACCGCAGCACGCCAGGCCTCCCTGTCCATCACCAACTCCTGGAGTTCACCCAAACCCATGTCCATTGAGTCGGTGATGCCACCCAACCATCTCACCCTCTGTCATCCCCTTCTCCTCCTGCCTTCAGTCGTTCCCAACATCAGGGTCTTTTCAAATGAGTCAGCTCTTAGCATTAGGTGGCCAAAATATTGGAGTTTCTGCTTCAACATCAGTCCTTCCAATGAACACTCAGGACCGATCTCCTTTAGGACTGGTTGGATCTCCTTGCAGTCCAAGGGACTCTCAAGAGTCTTTTCCAACACCACAGTTCAAAAGCATCAATTCTTCGGTGCTCAGCTTTCTTTATAGTCCAACTCTCACATCCATACATGACCACTGGAAAAACCATAGCCTTGACTAGATGGACCTTTGTTGACAAAGTAATATCTCTGCTTTATAATATGCTGTCTAGGCTGGTCATAACTTTCCTTCCAAGGCGTAAGCGTCTTTTAATTTTATGGCTGCAATCACCATCTGCAGTGATTTTGGAGCCCCCCAAAATAAAGCAGCCACTCTTTCCCCATCTATTTGCCATGAAGTGATGGGACTGGATGCCATGATCCTAGTTTTCTGAATGTTGAGCTTTAAGCCAACTTTTTCACTCTCCTCTTTCACTTTCATCAAGAGGCTCTTTATTTCTTCTTCACTTACTGCCGTAAGGGTGGTGTCATCTGCATATCTGAGGTAATTGACATTTCTCCTGGCAATCTTGATTCCAGATTGTGCTTCCTCCAGCCCAGCGTTTCTTAGGCTTCATCTTTTTCACCTGTCTTCCCTGTGCTTTACCCAAAGCCAGGTGATCCACTTCATGCTGGAACCATGGAAAAATTCTTCCTCTTTACCACCCAGACTCAAGGTTCTTCCTGACGGGTCCACACAACAGGGTCAGATTAACCCTCCTGAAATATCACTGTCATTAACTCCAAAGTATCTTATTCATGAAATGAGAGAACACAAGGATAAAATATGTGAAAGAAAACATAATTTTTCACATTGAGTCGGAGAAGGCAATGGCACCCCACTCCAGTACTCCTGCCTAGAAAATCCCGTGAACGGAGGAGCCTGGTGGGCTGCAACCCATGGGGTCACTAACGAGTCGCACACAACTGAGTGACTTCACTTTCACTTTTCATTTTCATGCATTGGAGAAGGAAATGGCAACCCACTCCAGTGTTCTTGCCTGGAGAATCCCAGGGACGGGGGAGCCTGGTGGGCTGCTATCTATGGGGTTGCACAGAGTTGGACACAACTGAAGCGACTTAGCAGCAGCAGCATCACATTGAGTAATTTAGGGTCAGAAATGTAATAACTATATTGTTCTGACATCTTTTTAACGCCTAGGGCTATACTAGAATACAATTCATAAGCCCTTTGATAATTTTTGACTGAAAAGCTGAAGGGAAGAGTGGAAAATTTTTAAAATTAGGACATGATATGGTAATTGTTCTCTGGTTTTCAAGGGCTTTGGGGTAATATCTTCCTTCATGTTTTGGAAAGAAATCATTGTAGGAAAATTTCTAAAATTATTAAGTTAGAGACATATACATGGTTAGCTTTGCCAATGCAAATCACAAAACATTATACTCAATTAGAAATTCTGATTTTTAAAGTGTACTTTCTTTTAATTGTCATTTAGGTTGTGTATACCCTATTTCAAGACACTGGCTTATTGGAGATATTTAAAATTCCCACTGTACAATTCATGAACTACTTTCATGCTTTAGAAAATGGTTATCGAGACATTCCTTGTAAGTATTATGTATTATTTAACTTGATATAATACTGGTTTTGAAATTCCTTTTAAACCCCCTTTAGTTGTCCCTTAAACACTTTTTAAATTGCATGTTTGGAAGAATTGAAAAATAGTAATTTAAAAAGAAAATCTACATCCTCCTACTCAGAGTTAACTGACTGCTGTTAATATTTTTGTATGTATTCTTCAAGATTTTTTCTTATACATATACTTATTTTTTATGAAGTGAATCATACTATTAATACCTATTTATAGTCTGCTTTTTCACATAATTATATAGTATGAGCTTTCTGTGTTAATAATTACTTATATGAATACCTTATCACTTCAGATGTTTGGTAATAATGTCATGAGTTTCCTAAATTTCTTCTTTTAAAATGTTTAAAATTTACCCACAGAATTTGTTTTTTAACTGTGTCCTGACTTGTGGAATAATTTTTAATGGCAATTTGATTTTATGATAAAATAGAATTTTAATTTTACATTAGGAAAAGATACAATTTTCTTTATGTGTTGATTCATTCTACACTTAACCTCCAGGGGGACATTCTTTGGAGAAATAGCCAATTGTTCTTAAATTGGCATGATTCATTAATAATAGTGATGCTTAATAATTTAATGTGCATTATATGTACTATAATTATCACAAAGTATGTATTTTGAAAAGTGGCTGATTTTACAAATGGAATGAGATGATACTTTAAGGTGTACTTCAAAATCAGAGGAATGGGAAAAAGAAAGGAATGGGAAAAAGAAAGCCACAGTGAGGAGTCTTCACTGTCACATCCAGTTGGGATATACTGGTTAAGATAAGACTCTCTGGGGACTTCCCTGACAGTCTAGTGGTTAGGACTCCATGCTTCCACTGTGGTGGGCATGGGTTCCATCCCTGCTCCAGGAACCTAGATCCTGCAAGCCAAATGGCATGGTCCAAAAACAAGCAAAGTTCGGTTAAGTAAATTAGCCCTGGTTATGATGCCTTTTCTATGATCCCGGTACTGTGTTTTCATAGTATACATGAAAGTTTATAAAAGAGACATCAAGAAACTTGATAAAATAAGACGAAACAAAAACCTAATTGTTGGAAATTATTCTAAGCCATATGTTTTATTTAGGAGGATACAGTGAGACTAGAAAGTACTTTTTAAAATGTCCTATGTTAAAAATAACAAAATGACCATGTCTGTAAAACATTTTGGTGACTTTAGATCACAATCGTATACATGCCACAGACGTCCTACATGCTGTTTGGTATCTGACAACACGGCCCATTCCCGGCCTACAGCAGATCCACAGTGATCATGGAGCAGGAAATGAAACAGGTACTCCCTTCTACTAATCTGTCCTTAAAGTATTTCACTAGGCATTATAAATCGAACTATCTCATTTCATTATCTCTGTTCTCTTAGCATTTTTATTAAGTAACCTTTGGTACATATAAAGCGAATGGGAAATCGCTCAGTCGTGTCTGACTCTTTGCGACCCCATGGACTGTAGCCTACCAGGTTCCTCTGTCCATGTGATTTTACAGGCAAGAATGCCATCTCCTTCTCCAGGAGATCTTCCCAACCCAGGGACTGAACCCGGGTCTCCTACATTGTAGGCAGACGCTTTACCGTCTGAGCCACCAGGGGTTTATATAAAGTATTATGTTAATTTTGATGAATGCAAATTGGGAAACTTACTATCCATCTGAAGATTCAATACTACTCAATTTACCATGTTTTTTTTCTGTGTCCCACCCTGCTGCTTCTTCACTGAGATAGCCAATATCCTGAATATTGTGATAATCTGTTTTGCTTTCTTTCAATTCTTGTTTTTCCTGTTTTAGGTATATCATGTAAATTTAAAATATGTAACATTCCCAACAGATGGGGACATGTTTAAAAGCTCACATAAGTATTTAAACAGTGATATTAAAAAAAATTGTTAACATTCAAATTTTGTTTCCTTTTCATAAATATAACTATTTATGCAAATGTGATAAAATATAACATTCACAGCTCTCTTATTCTAGTTTATAAAAGAGGGGAGAAAACTTCTATCTAGTGCTTTCACTCCATGGCCTGGGTTCAATCCCCGATCAGGGAACTGAGATCCTGAAAGCTGTGCAGCCAAAATTTTAAAACATTGAAAAAAAGAGAGGAGAAGTACTCCAGTAAGAAATACACACAAATCAGGACAGAATTTGCTCAGTTACAAATGCCTGAGAATTGTTATCATACTAATCAGTGTAAAAGTCTCGGTCTTAGCCACTTCTTCACATTCTTTGGTGGTTTAGTCTAAAGTACTACACCATTGTTTGATGGATTTGCCTTATGTCACTGATTCATTTTTGTCTGCTATCCATATTTACTTTCATAGTGTTCTTCCTTCTTTCCAGTAGTTCTGTGCTTCCATAAAAGATCATTTTCTTCAGCCTTTTTGTTTGTAGATGTATTTATTTTATCCTAGAAGAATGCATCTTTATTCCAACACATTTGTAGATATCATTATATTTTCTGTAATATCTGTTGACAAATCAGCCATAAGTCTTATTTCTCCTTAAAGGTAGGTACTATGTCCCTTTTCTCTTTGCTGTTGGTTTTTAGCATTTTGTCTATGGTACACTCAGGTTATATTCTTTGTATTCATCTTATTTGGGGGTTCAGTGAACTTCTTGAATATATTGATTAATGTCTTTTATTGGTTTCTGTCATACTCTTCAGAATTTTTTCAGCCTTCACTCACTGCCCAATCCAAAGCTGCGTCCACATTTTTAGATATTTGTTACAGCAACACTCTACTTCCAAGTGCCAAAATCTGTATTATTTACCTATGGCTCCTGTAACAAATTACTACAAAGTGGTTTAAAATGATACAAATTTGGGGGATTCCCTGCCAAAGTGGTTAGGACTCTGTGCTTTCACTGCAGGGGGCACAGGTTAGATCCCTAGTCAGGGAACTAAGATCCCACATACCATGCGGTGTGGTCAAAAACAAAACACAAATTTATCAACTTATTATTTATTATTCTGGATCCAAAAGTCTGAAAAGCCTTCAACTGGGCTAAAATCCAGGTGTCAGCAGCACTGTTTTCTTCCTGGTGTCCCCAATGACGAATGTTTCCTTGCCCCCTCCAACTTATACAAGCCACCTGCATTGCATGGCTAATGGCCCCTTCTTCAAAGACAGCAGCATAGCATCTTCAAGTGTGTCTCTGACCCTGACCTTTTCATCCTTCAAAGGAATTAGCAAAAAGTGGTACAACTATAACCTTGGTTTTCTGTCCAGAGTACACATTCCTGACAGTGAATCTCTCACTTCTAGTATTTTTTGCAGTCTGGACAGGTTGAGAATTTCCCAGATTACCAAATCCTGGATCCTTCTTGCTTAGCAATTCTTCCTCACTTTCCTCTTACATTTTATTTCAAACAGTAAGAAAGCAGGCTTATCTTTAATACTTTCCTTGGATATCTCCTCAGCTAAATATCTAAGTTCATTGTTTACATGTTTTGTATTCCACGAATACAGTTCAACCAAGCTTTCTGCTGCTTTATTAACAATGACCCCTTTCCTTATTTTCCAATAATGGGTTCTTGGCAGTGTCTTTAACAGAAGTTTTCTACCATCACCCTGTTCAAGATGATTTGAGTATTCCCTAAGGCAATGTCTGTTTTCTGTGCTCCTCACTTCCTTCTGAGTTCTTACTAGCAGTGTTATAAATCCTTATACAATATTATGGAATAAAGTATATGTAGAAGACAGTTTTCTTTGGAAAACCAAGTAGCTGCTGAAATGGAAAACTGTGGTAGAAACAAAGACTATGAGGACTATGAAATGCACTGCTTTATTCTGACTACAGTGGAGAATAGGAACAATGACTATGCCACCAAAGTAACAGCAACAAAAGCAAAAATAAACAAGTGGGACTGCATCAAACTAAAAAGCTTCTACACAGAAAAGGAAAAAAATTTTAAAAACAAAAAGGCAGCCTGCAGAATGGGAAATATTTGTAATTCATATACTGAGTGTAAGGGGTTAATATCAAACATACATAAAGAACTTATACAACTTAATACCAAAAAACAATCCAATTTTTAAAAAATGGGCAGAGAAACATAAATCAAAAGCACAGTGGGCTATCACCTCACACTTGTTAGAAAGGCTGTCATTAAGACAAGAGGTAAGTTTCAGCCAAGATGTGGATATAAGGGAACACTTGTGCACTATTGAAGACAGATTGGTTCAGCCACTGAGAACAGTAGTATGGAGATTTTTATTTCTCAAAAAAGTAAAGTAGAACTATCATATGAAGGAGCAATTTCTGGGCATATATCCAAAGGAAACAAAGATAGAAGTTTGAAGAGTATATACACTTCCATATTTATTACTGCATTATTTGTAATAGCCAAGACATGGAAATAATCCATGAATGGATAAAGATGTGTGTGTGTGTGTGTGTGTGTACATGTACACACAGTGGAATATTATTCAGCCATGAAATAGAAGGGAATCCTGCCATTTGCAGCAGATGGGCCTTAACGGCATTACGCTAAACGAAGTATCAGACAGATACTTTATGATGTCAGTTACATATGGAATATAAACATGCTGAAATTGTAAAAACAGAATGTAATGGTGGTTACCAGAGGCTGGGAGTGAGGGAATTGGGGATATGTTGTTTAAGGTTACAAACTTGGAGTTAGTAGATAAATAAGTCCTGGAGAGCTAATGCACAGCATAGTGGTTTATAGTCATAAATACTACCTTATAAAGTTCAAAGTTGCTGAGAGACTAGATCTTAATTGACCTCACCCCAGGAAAAGAAATGATAATTATGTGGTGTCATAGAGGTGTTAGCTGATGCTACAGGTGGTAATCATATTGCAGTATATGAATATATCAACACATTGTATACCTTAAATTTACACAGTGTTTTGTGTTAATTATATTTCAATTTAAAAAAAAAAGAAGTTTAGAGTTTTAATGAATGGTTAGAGAACCAGATAGTTAAAAGAATTCCTTGACTTCTCTGGTGGCTAAGTGGTAAAGAATCTACCTGCCAGTGCAGGAGACTTGAGTTTGATCCCTGATCCAGAAAGGGTTCCACATGCCACCAAACAACTTAGGCTTGTGGGCCACAACTATTGCGCCTGCGCTTTAAAGCCCAGGAGCTGCCTCTGCTGAGCCCCACTGACACAGCCGTGGAAGCACACACACTCCGCCCGTGCTCCACAGAGAGAAGCCACTGCGAGAAGCCTCTTACGTTAGAGCTCTATGTTATGTAGAGCTCTTATGTTAGAGCTGTGGTATTGATTGGAAAAGAAAGGACCCTTATAATTGGAAGGAGAATATTTGAGTCGATTTCAAGAAATCTGATTACCCTGAACGCCTCATATCTTGCTGTACCTCTATGCTGAAAAATAATCATTTCTCCTTGTATTGGTTGCCTGGAGACCTTGTAACAACCTCACCTGAGACCCTTGACTTACAGGTCTATGCTAGTTCACCTCTAAATCCAGTCCGACCACCTCTCATTTCTTTGTGATCCATAATTAAACTCAGATCTGCCACAATCTGAATACCAAAATAATTTCCTAAATTTATATTGGCAGAAACCTGAGGAACATATATGGGAATGGATTTTAAGTGTTTACAGCAAGACAAAGGAAGGTAATGGTTGATCATTCTGAATTTATTGATGTTGGTATACCTATTGGAAATGTGGGTTCTTTTCACTTTGGGGTGGTTATGAATAAATGCTACTATGAATATTCATCTACCAGCTTTTGTGTGGGTTTATGTTTTCATTTCTCTTGGCCATCTACCTAGTTTTATGGAATTGCTGGGTTATAAGGTTACTCTGTGATTAACATTTGGAGGAACTATCAAACTTTTTCAAAATGGTTGTGCTATTTTACATTCCCACATGCAGTGTATGAAGATCCCAATTTATTATTATAATTAATAAGTTAATATTAATTTACCTGCCATTTATCATTATCTGTCTTCTTGATAGCCATTCTATAGTTGGTGTGAAGTGGTATCTCACTGTGGCTTTTTTGATTCACATTTTTCTAATAGCTAATAATGTTGAGCATCTTTTCATGTTTTTTAGGTCGTATGTATATATTTGTCCTTTGTCCATTTAAAAATATGGTCATTTGTCTTTTCATTATTGAGTTGTTTTTTATATGTTTTGGATACAAGTGTCTTATTAAATTTATGAGTTGCTACTATTTTCTCACATTGTGTTATCTTTGCACTTTTTTGATGATGTCTATCAAAGCATAAGATCATGGCATCAGGTCCCAGCACTGCATGGCAAATAAATGGGCAAACAATGGAAACAGTGACAGACTTTATTTTCTTGGGCTCCAGAAATCACTGCAGATGGTGACTGCAGACATGAAATTAAAAAGAAGGTTGCTCCTTGGAAGAGAAGCTATGACAAACCTAGACAGCATATTAAAAAACAAAGATATTACTTTGCTCATAAAGGTCTGTCTAGTCAAAGCTATGGTTTTTCCAGTAGTCATGTATGGATGTGACAGTTGCACCATAAAGAAAGCTGAGTGCCAAAGAATTGATGCTTTTGGACAGTGGTGTTGGAGAAGACTCTTGAGAGTCCCTTGGACTGCAAGGAGATCAAACCAGTTAATCCTTAACAAAATCAGTCCTGAATATTGATTGGAAGGACTGATGCTGAAGCTGCAATATTTTGGCCACCTGATGTGAAGAGGCAACTCATTAGAAAATCCCCAGATGCTGGGAAAGATTGAAGAGAGGAGGAGAAGGGGATGTCAGAAGATGAGATGGTTGGATGGCATCACCAGCTAAATGGACATGAGTTTGAGCAAGCTCTGGGAGATGGTGAAGGACAGGGAAGCCTGGTGTGCTGCAGTCCATGAGTTCACAGGGTCAGACATGACTGAGTGACTGAACAACAATCAAAGCATAAACTTTTCAATTTTGATGAAGTTTAATTTATCTAATTTTTTCTTTCATTGCTCATGCTTTTGATGTCATATCTACAAAGGGTTTGTGTAACTTGAAGTCATGAAGATTTACTATGTTTTCTTCTAAACGTTTCATAGTGCTCTTAAGTTTAGGTCTAGGATCCACTAAAACTAATTTGAGGGGATGAAGTAAGGAAGAGGTCTAACATTCACTCTTCAGCATATGGAAATCTAGTTTTCTTGGCACCATTTGTTGAAAAAATTTCTTTATGTATTCTGCACATGATTGGTTCTTAAATGTTATAACATCATTTCTGCCTTTTAACATGTGACATTAAATGAAACAGCATGCATGAAAGTGCCTTGTATCATGCAAGACATAGTTGGCTCTCAACAAGGTCTTGGCTCCCTTATCCAAACATCAATTGGCCATAAATATAAGGATTTATTTCTGGACTCTCAGTTCTGTTCCATTGATCTATGTATCTATCCTTATGTCATTACCACACAATCTTTTGTTACTAAAGCATTGTAGTAAACTTCAAAATTACTCTTCTTTTTCAAGATTGTTTTGGCTAATCCGATCTCTTTCATTTCCATCTGAATTTTAGGGCCAGCTTATATATCTCTTGTACAAAAAAGCCAGCTGGAGTGTTGATAGGCGTGTGTTGAGCCATAGATCATTTGAGGGAGTATTGCCATCTTAACAATATTAAGTCTCCTGAATCATAAGCATGGATATTTTCCTACTTATTTGTCTTCTTTAATTTCTTTCAACAGTGTTTTTTACTTTTCAGGATACTGGTTTTTCACTTCTTTTGTTAAATTTACTCCTAAGTATTTTATTCTCTTTGATGCTAGTATAAATGGAATTGCTCTCTTGGGTTCATTTTTTTTATTATATATCCCTAGTATGTAGGAAAAACATGGATTTTTTGCATTTTGATCTAGTACCCTGCAACCTTTATGATCTCATTTTTAGCTTAATGCTTTTCCCGTGGATTTCTTAGGATCTTTCTGTATACAGAAGCGTGTCATTCACAAACAGAGCGTTCTGCCTCTTCCTTTCCAATCTCAATGGCTTTCACTGAGGCCTCCTTTCAAATGGAATCTTCAGCAGTTACGTTTAGTTGTCTGGCCCTTTATTGTCTTGCCATGTATTTTCTTTTTTATACTGGTAATTTCACATTAAACATACACAGACTAATGTATTAAGATCCTAATATGTCAATTATAGGTATATACTGAGTTTAAAAGGAGTTTTTGCATTTTTTGATATTATATATATATATATATTCTAAATTCTAGGGGCACTACAGAATGCATATAATGCAGAAAAAACTGAAGTTTTCACTCTGATATTGGTAATTTAAATCTTATTAGAAACTTAAATGTTTAAATATATCTTTATCCATACATTTAAGTATCTTGTTTTTACTTTTTATAATTATTTTTAAAAGCTCTAGTGTGGGTAATTCTAAAACTCAATTTAGGTGCAAAATATAAACAGCATGAAAATAATTAGGTATCTTTATAATTATCAGTATTGTGTATTTATGTTATTATGTTAAAAAATCCTTGTGGTTGAAAATAGTAAGTGAACTAAATCATGATAAAGTCCTTCTGGACTTTGACAAGCCAGGACATTATTCTAAGTTTCCCCTGCTGAACACAACCAATGAAATTTTGTATCTAATATCTGTGGTTTTCTTTGCTGTCTACTCACAATATACTTTATTATTTCCTTCTTAATACTTTAAGATACCTTTAGCAAAAACAATTTGAGTGACCATCTAAATAGGTATAGCCACCAAATTACAAAAAAAGGAGAAACCAATGGTAAGGTGTTAAGCACAGTGCTGATAGTAAAATTATTGTTTCTAACTAGAAGATACAAAGAATTACACTGACTGAATCATTCCTCAGTTTTCCATACCTTTTCAGTTTCCAGAGTTTTTCTTTACAGTATTTTATAAGGGGCTTCATCAAAGGAAAAAGAAGAGGAAGTAGTGTAGTCAGGGTTACAAATGAAAGGAAATCTATTTGGGTAAGATTTGAAAAGCATGCATGTTGAAATGCTTACTTTGTTAATATATTAAATTCCTAAATCTCTATAGTGTTTCATGTAATTTTATTCTCTAGATTGTTTTTTCCTATTACTCTGGCCATTATGTTTAACCTTTAAATAACAAAAGTTTAGAAAATCAGAGGTTTTTAAAGAGCACCACTAGCTTGAGTTAACAGAGCATCATGAGAATCCTGTCATGTCGTGTTTAACACTGCTCCTCTCTGTTAGCATGTATGTTGGAAATAGTATACTATTTTATGTCCATGTTTAGAGAGTATTTCTTAGGTAAGTCAACAAATAAGATGATCATATTACCTTTGGGAAGCTCCTTAGCCTGACTGTAACGATTTTATATGTAATGCGCTTTTTATTTTGCTTGTTCCTCAGCAATTAACCCTGAGCGAATTGCTTACATTTCTTCGAGGAGCTGCTCGATTCCAGATGAGAGCTATGGCTGCCTTTCTTCAAACATTCCTGCGCTGGAATTGATGGCTCTGTATGTGGCAGCTGCCATGCATGACTATGACCACCCGGGACGGACAAATGCATTCCTAGTGGCTACCAATGCCCCTCAGGTAGGAAATAACTTTTTCAGAAAGTCTTAAGGAATGATTCTGAAATTTTACAGCCAGCCTACATTTCCCTTTGCACACCATTCTTCAGTTGAAGCATTTTGCCGTTGGAGAAAACACATCAATATGACATGTGCTAAAGAGTTAGGGAAAGATCTTCACTGGAAGATAAATAAAATATTCCTGAAAGAGTAATCCACTGTTTTTATGAAATTCTGGAGTCCTGTGCTGTCAGTTTCTTTGCCTTTGATCAAATTGGTAAGATTTTGACTAGCTGTTAAGACTTACTCTTCCTTCTAACCAGATCCTTCATATTCCTAAAAACTATAATAACTGAGAATTGTTATTATTTTTGTTGTTGTCCTCTTTTTTTTTTCCTCTAAGACATGCCATAATATGCTGTCTCTTAGCCCAGCATATATTCATATATGTAAAAAATCTTCTAGTACATTGTTTTTGAATTCAGTACAGTTGGTAAGGTGCAAGATTTCTTCAGGGTCACAATTTGCCTAAGAGGTAGGAGTTTCCAACAGATGGATGCTATAATAACATTAGGACTTGGAACTAAATACGGGCAGCCCTCCATATCCAGGGGTTCTGCCTCCCTGGATTCAATCAACTGGAAATCAAAAATATTTGAAAATTAAAAAAATTCCAGAAAGTTCCAAAAAGCAAAACTTAAATTTACTGCATACTAGTCACTATTTACATTGTATTAGGAATTATAAGTAATCTGGAGAAGATGTAAAGTATACAGGGGATGTGCATAGGTTATATGAAAATACTGTATTACTTTATATATATTTTATATGAGCATCTGCAGGGGTCCTAGAACCAATTCCCTGAAGATACTGTGGGGATGGGATGGCTGTGCTTGGTTTTAAGCAGAATTTAGTGTGATGACTTAGCAACTAAAAGACAAAAACAAAGTATGGTTGTGAGTTTTTGTTTAGGCAGATGATTCCTGAAATGTCAGCTTTGTATTTCTGCCTGCCTGCCTGGCTTACAAAGAGCAAGTTGTCAATATTGTTTACTGAATTCGTCTTACTTCCTCACTTTGTTGCTCTATGTTCAAACCTCAGTTCTGATTCTTTCATCTTTTATAGCCATTCTCCCTGTTCCTCTTCTCATTTCTCTTTCTTTCACACACTCCCAGTACTTAAAATATAGGAGATAGTTTCTCTAGCCAGAACAATAGGATGCAGAGAGAGAGAGAAAATTAAAAGTGCTAGGTAATTCATTTTCTCTAATTAGACTTTATTCATAGGTCATGATTTCCACAGGTAACTTTTAGATGAATTTCAATCTAGATATTAATATTTTTCCACTTTCTAAGAATTGCTTTGGGAGATATTACCCACTTATAAGCACATCTCCTCATTTGCAATCCCACTCTGCAAAAATCAGATGCCTATTTTCTCTAGCACTTCATTATCTTTGAAAATCCTAGTTCTATAGCAAGTCACAGACTGGCACAATAGAAAAAGTACTAGTCTTGGGATGGAGAGACCTGGGCTTGATTTCTGGTTACCAACTACTAGCTGTGTGACATTAGGCAAGTAATTTTTTTTTTTTTTTGGCAATTAACTCTTATCTTTCTGAACCTCAAAATATGTACCTGATATAACTACGGGTAAAAAGAGATAACATTTGGGAAGTTTTCTGCTGAATCAGATTATCATGTAGATAGAAATTATTTACTGTTCTATTCCACCCTCTACTTTCATTCTCTCTCTATTAGCATTGAGTATACATGAGTCAGACTTATGTATTACCTCTTCTTCAAGGATATTACAAGTTAGTGAATTCTAGTGTTATTTGTCTTGCATGCAGATAGTTTAAAACAATGACACATGAAGTATTCAATAATTTATATGTTATGTACTCAAAACTGTTGTCCTGAACAAAATACAAACATAAAGTCTGGACACAGTCAGTAACTATGTGTTATTTCTAAACTTTCATTGTTAAGGACAGCCAAGAGATGAAGCAGTGAGAAGGGCCGGAATGAAAAGGAAACTGATCAGAGAGTTCAGCTGTGAAAAAGTATAGCCTTTTACTTGGCCTCCACGCTTACTTCCTGATGCTCTTCAGTCCGGTTTCAACACCCAGCAGCCAGAGGGGCCCTGTTCTGCCCTGAACCCTCACTCCTAGTAAAAGACAACCATTACAGTGGCTCAGAAGGTCCTACACGATTTAGCCCCCATTAATTCTCCTTTTTAAACTCACTCAGGTCTAGCCTCACTGGGTTCCTTGCTATTTTCTCCTGTATCCCAGGCACACTCCCTTTCTGGAACCTGGCCTCTTTCTGTTCTCTCGCCCAGAGTGCTCTTTCCCTACACATCTATGAAGATCACTTTGTGACTTCCTTCCACCTCAAATTTCAAAAGCTCCTTCATGACACTCATTATGGTCCTCCTCTGATTTGTTTTTTCCACAGCAATGACCATTTAGCATACTGTGTATTTTGTTGTGTATATTTTAGTGGAATATAAGTTTCTATGAGGGCAGACATTTTTCTTTTATTCCCTAATACCTAGAATGATGCCTGGCACACAAAAGGCATTCAGGAAACATATGCTGAATGTTGAAGGATGCCTAATTTCTTTGCTCTGCCGGGCTGCTATGCTTGTCTGAAATATACTCCATTGTTCCCAAAGTAATGAGGTTCACCAGACATTCTTCACCTAGTGCCTATGAGATAAGGACTCTTGTGAAAACTTGAGGCTTAACCTGTTTATTAGGTAATAAAGCAGTCTCTCTCATCTTAGGAAGCTCAATGAGTCTAACCAGGCCATAATTAGTGAAAGATATTATTGCTCTGGTGGTAGGATAAAAAGGGACAATAGGGCATAAAACCACCAATAGGATCAGGCATTCTCCTTTCTCATGGTCAGGAAGTGTGTGGGAAGACTTAGGAAGACTGTTTTGAATCCTCGCCATAAAAGAAGGGGAAACATTTAGTCAAGTTTATCCTGGAGGGACATCAGTATTAAAATTCTAAGAGATTTCTGAGCTATTTTCAAATGAATGGTTGGCTGGAAGATGCCAATTGAGATATTACAGTTTGAATTGGGTTGGCCAAAAAGTTTGTTTGGTTAGTGAACCCATTCAATAAAGTTCTTGGTGAAAATGAAATATGTCTTTTATTTGTACTTAAAACTGAATGAACTTTTTTGCCAGTGCAGTTGGCCAAAACATTTTGATTTGGGGTCAAAGGAAACAAAACTGAGAACTATAGATCTGAGACAGTCATAAACATTTGTCCTCCCAAATATGGATCAAGATGAGAGACTAAACAGGTGTGTTTTCCCCCCTTTCCTCCTGATCAAAATAACAATAAAAGATAAAATGCATTACAACAGAGAGGAGTAGGCAGAAGGATATTATCTGAAGTTAAAGAATTTCATACTGTTTTTGGAAAATGAAAATCATGTGGGCAGGTGCCATTGCCCTTGTCTGCCACACACACACACACACACACACACACACACACACACACACACACACAATGAAAATCATGTGGGCAGGTGCCATTGCCCTTGTCTGCCACACACACACACACACACACACACACACACACACACACAATGAAAATCATGTGGGCAGGTGCCATTGCCCTTGTCTGCCACACACACACACACACACACACACACACACACACACACAATGAAAATCATGTGGGCAGGTGCCATTGCCCTTGTCTGCCACACACACACACACACACACACACACACACACACAATGAAAATCATGTGGGCAGGTGCCATTGCCCTTGTCTGCCACACACACACACACACACACACACACACACACACACACACAATGAAAATCATGTGGGCAGGTGCCATTGCCCTTGTCTGCCACACACACACACACACACACACACACACACACACACACAATGAAAATCATGTGGGCAGGTGCCATTGCCCTTGTCTGCCACACACACACACACACACACACACACACACAATGAAAATCATGTGGGCAGGTGCCATTGCCCTTGTCTGCCACACACACACACACACACACACACACACACAATGAAAATCATGTGGGCAGGTGCCATTGCCCTTGTCTGCCACACACACACACACACACACACACACACACACACACACACACACACACAATGAAAATCATGTGGGCAGGTGCCATTGCCCTTGTCTGCCACACACACACACACACACACACACACACACACACACACAATGAAAATCATGTGGGCAGGTGCCATTGCCCTTGTCTGCCACACACACACACACACACACACACACACACAATGAAAATCATGTGGGCAGGTGCCATTGCCCTTGTCTGCCACACACACACACACACACACACACACACACACACACACACACACACACACACACACACACACACACACCGTAAAGCAAGGCTACTGTGACATCTATTCACTTCTAGGCAGAAAAACACATCTCTTAAATACTGAAGGAAATGACCAGAAGAGATTTAGTACTCCAGAGTAAATCCTTCTCATTTTGGAAATCACACTGGTAATTCCAAAGCAAAACCTGCTAGATAAACAAGCCCCACCCACATTAACAGGCCTCCTACTCATCCTTCCCAATTAAAGAGACTCAGCAGTAAAACATACACAAGGCTATGAGATGCATACTGAAGGACAGGCACTATTCTAGGCAATACTGTTGAACAAAACAAGCAAAAAATACATTCTGCCCATATGGAAGTCACATTCTAATAAAGTAAGAAAAAACCAAAAAGTGTGTGTGTGTGTGTGTGTGTAAAAGAGAGATGATTATGACATAAGTGCTAGGAAAAAAGTAAAACAGGGGTGGAGATGATGCTGGCATAGAAAGATTATTTTCAAGTTAAGAGTTCTGTATCCAGCTAAGCTACAGTTGAGTGTTAAGAGCAAAATAAACAGTCCCGGGTATACAAAGATTTTAAAAAATCATGTTCCATCCATCCTATCTGAGAAAGTTACATAAAAATGTGTTTTAGGCAAAACAAGGGTGATAAACTATGACAAAGGGTCTTAGAAGATAAAGGATTACCAGAAATTTTAGAACCCAAAACTTGAGGGTAAAGGAATCCCTAGATGGAAGCTGTTCATCAAAACTATTTCCTTAAAGAGAAGCATTTATTAAAAAAAAAAAAGTAGCTGTATTGTTTTCTGCTGCACCTAATTTGTTTACTGCCTCTATTGGGTTTTCTTTTCAGTTAGGAATATTAGTTTTTTAATGAAAACAGTCCTTCTTAATCCAAGATTTTTCACTTCAGAAAAATGTAAATACCTTCTTATAATCTTATAACTGTGACTTAGAGATTTACTTTAATGTCTCCTTTTTCTTGTGGTTCAACAGGAGACATTCGTTCAGATTTGTCATAGTCTTCCTGTTTGATCTAAGTGTTTATGTCTGATGGGTTTTTCTTTTTGCTCATTTATTGAAAGGTGTTTATTATTTGTTAAGATTAATTCCATCTTTTTGACTCTGGGTAAAAGTAAACTTTATGACCAACTAATTTGCTTTACCATGTTAGAGAAGAAATTGGCTTGTGGAGATAAGGAAGATTCACAGTTAGAGAAAGCAGGTAACAAGTTGCTTTAGCAAAAATTCAAAGAATGTTAGTTACTGCAGGTCTGAATAAGGGGGGAAACTGTCTTCATTTTCTAGTTGTGAAGGTGCCCTCAGTAAAAGCCAGCTGAGGCTTCAGTATCTGTTTTACCTGGAATGTTTTTCTCCCTGGAGTTAAGCTTGGCTTGTTGATCAGTGTGCGACCATCCAGTGTTCTTCCTAAAGCAGAATTTGCCTCTTGCTTCCTGCTCCATGACTCTTGCCTCCACTAAGCCACGAGGTGGTCGGTCAGTTCACTGGGGTCCAGGAGAGGCCCCCTCCCCGTGTTCTCAGGTGGGCTCTTCCTTCTTAGGCGATGACTCAGCTGGCCTTTCCTCAGCCCATTCCCATGTGGGCCATGTCTTTAAAGCTTCCAGTATTGCAGCTGTATCTAGATTCTAATATTGATTCCGATTTCTTTTCATCCTCATTTTAGATTTCTTTGGTAATGTCAAAGGGCAATTTGGATGCTGCAGGAATTCTGAACTACTGGTTTTTGTTTTTTGTTTTTTTCAGCTGATCTCATTAACTGAGAGTTTAAGTCCGCTAGCTTTATAGGACACTCATTATGCACTGTGGTTTATTGACCTGGGAGTTTTATTACTTCTTCATGAACAAAGCTGTTCTGATCATTTATCAGTCTTTATTGGATTTAAACATGAGTTAACTAAGTCACTTTTATATGTAAGTTGACTTCTTAGGAAGTCTCTTGACGTTAAACATGTACAGTGTTTTAATTTGACACATATATTGTAATATGATTACCACCACAGCAATAGCTAACAAACACCTCCATCACATCACATAATTAACCTCTTCGTGTGTGTGGTAAGAATATTTAAAATCTAGTCTTTAGCAACTTTTTAGTATATAATATAGGATTGTATAATCACAATGCTGTACATTAGGTCTCCAGAACTTATTCAGCTTTAAAATATATTTACTTATTTACTTGGCTGTGCTAATTCTTAGTTGCTGCCCACAGGATCTTTTTTAAAAAATTCCATAACATATAAATTTTACCGAAGTCTAGTTGACTTACAGTGTTTCAGATGTGCAGCAAGGTGATTCAGTTACACATGAACCACATGTATTATTTTCAGATTGTTTTCCATTATAGCGTTCTTGCACGGTTTTGACTGTAGTTCCCTGTGCTGTACAGTAAATGCACACAGGATCTTTGATCTTCATTGCGGCATACAGGATCTTTAGTTGTGGCATGGGGATCTCATTCTGTGCTCCCTGCACTGGGAATGTGAAGTCTTAGCTGCTGGACCGTCAAGGAAGTCCCATTCATCTTCTGAATGCATGTTTGTACCCTTAGACCACTGTCTCCCAATTTCCCCATCGTCTTGTAACCACCTAGTTCTACTGTAAATAGAGTTCAGTTTTAGATTAAACATAAGTGATATCAGCATTTGTCTTTTTCTAACTTATCTCACTTAGCATGTTGTTGTCAAGGTCCATCCAGGTTAGGATGTCCTTTCTCATGGCTAAAAATTGTTCCACTCTGTGTATATATGTTACATCTTCTTTATCTATTCACCCATTGATGGGCATAGATTTTTTCAACCTTTTTGTGACCCACAGTTTAAATCATCATTGCTAAGATTAAAATCAAATGATGTTTAAAAAAATCAAATGGTAAATATCTGTGTTTATATCTAGACTATAATTAATTTTTACAGATCTGTAAAATGACCTAATTAGGCTCAGAATATGCATTGTAGCTGAGATTATGCTGAGAATATTTTTATCTGTCTTTTTCCATTAGACAGAAAGTGCTATGAAAATAGGGATAGTGTTTTTACTTTTTATTCTCAGCCTTTAGCACTAGCTATAAGAATTCTTTTAATAATTACTATGGTTGGGGGACTTCCCTGGCAGTCCAGGGGTTAAGACTTCCCTTTCCAATGCAAAGGTGTGGGGGTTCAATCCCAGGTCAGACCTAAGATCCCACATGCTTTGTGGCCAAAAAAGAAAACAGTACATAAAACAGAAGCAAATTGGAACAAATTCAATAAAGACTTTAAAAATGATCCACAAACAAATCTTAATTACTATGCATATTTAATAATTTTAAAAAACTTTCACTTGTTAGAGATGGAAGAAGCTTTAAAAATTCTGTAATCCAGTGATTTTTAGAATCTAGATTACCAGGGTGGGATGTTCAGAGAGAACAGCATTGAAACAAGTGTACTATCAAGGGTGAAACAGATCACCAGCCCAGGTTGGATGCATGAGACAAGTGCTCAGGGCTGGTGAACTGGGGAGATCCAGAGGGATGGGATGGGGAGGGAGGTGGGAGGGGGGATTGGGATGGGGAACACATGTAAATCCATGGCTGATTCATGTCAATGTATGGCAAAAACCACTACAATATTGTAAAGTAATTAGCCTCCAACGAATAAAAATAAATGGAAAAAAAAATAGAATCTAGATCACCAAATCCTAGACTACTGAGGAGGTACCTCAGGGTCTTCCACTGAAGTGAAATGGGAAAAACAGTGACTTGATCTACACCACTCGGACAGAGGATTTGTGCTTTTACCTGTTTGATACTTCTCTGATTCCCAGGTCCTGTGTCAGCTGGGGGCACATGATGTGCCTTTCTCATAGTTAGGGGTCTCCAGCCCACCATGCACAGAGTACCCCGGGTTCCTCTCCTTCAGTCACCACCACCGTCATTCAGTGCTCACTAAAGAACAGTAGTATATCCCTAAGCCTGTTGTCTCTGTCCCTGATGACTAAGCTTTATCTGAGAAGTTTCACTGCTTTAAGGAAGCAGACCTCAAATTATCAGCTTTATATCTCTTGGTAAGCAGCATGGTGTCTGCAAGGAAGATGAACTTTGGAGACAAATTACCCTTTCATTTACTAGCTATGAATGCTGGAAAAGTGTACCTTATCCTCTTGGCACTTCAGTCTAATCCTTTATCAAATTATCAACCCTTCTACACAAGTATTAAAATGCCTGGCATGTAATAGATACTCACTGTATTCTTTCAACATGATCCTAACTCTGTTTATTACTGAAGTTCAATATCTTTGAGATGCCTGCCTCATTCTTCTTGTTCCTTTTCAGGCAGTCTTATACAACGACAGATCTGTTTTGGAAAATCATCATGCTGCATCAGCCTGGACTCTGTATCTTTCTCGTCCAGAATACAACTTCCTTCTTAATCTTGACAGTGTGGAATTCAAGCGCTTTCGTTTTTTAGTCATAGAAGCAATCCTCGCCACAGATCTTAAAAAGCATTTTGATTTCCTTGCTGAATTCAATGCCAAGGTTTGTTACGCAAATTAATCCCTGGTTTCAAAGCAGAAATTATTGTCAGTGCTGCCGACAAAAGGCATTTTTTTAACGTTAAGTCAGAATGCCACTCATGAAGTCACGGTAAATCTGGTAAGACAAAATATATGCCAATATTAAAAAAATTATAACATGTCCAAAAATACGACTGCTTGTGACATTTCCAATTATGTCAGTTGAAGCTTTCAGGGACAGATTTGAGCAAGTTATGCACAGTGCCAAGTAAGGCATTCTATGAAATTAAATATGTGTTTCTAAGAAGCCAGTTATGCCTACACTGCTGCACCTGTTTCCCTTCTCTATGTTGTGAAGTGTTAAACCGGCTGGTGTGGGAACGGAGAAGTACTTGAGAATAAAGCACTCGTTGAACTGCTGTTTACTGGGACTGCCCACTGTGTGCAGTCATCCTAGTTAAGAATAAGGCATAAACAGGCTGGTGTCACTGTCGGAGCGCACATTCACCGTGGAGCTGAGGATCACTGCCATTGTGTGATGGTGGTACTGATGGGAGCGTGCTGTATCCCTCAGAGGTTGGGGTGAAAAAGCGTTGAGAACCACTGCTTTAGATTCCCGAGGGAAAGATGACCCATATTTTGCAGGCAGGAAACCATTGTTTTCTTGATAACATCCCTGCCCTAAAGGAAGGTGTTACCGTCAGGGTAGAGGGGCTGGGTATCAAAGGAGTACTCACTTAACCTCCTGGAAGGAGGCCTATATATGTCACTGTTGTGATATTGATAAATGCTTATGAAAAAAATCAGTAAGACATCAGTTTGCCTTTAAACTTACTTCATAGCTGTGTAGCTCTATCAATTTTTATTTTTACTTAATAAAAATTCATTTAAATGCTTAAGTCACAGTAAGTAAACAGAAGTTCTTTTTACAGGTGAAAGATGATCTAGCCCAAAACTTTGGAATCTGTGTTCCTCAGAGATACCTATTCTGTAGTCTCAGGAAAATGTCACATGAGTGACACATGGGGAACAGCTTGCAGATCTTAGTTCCCTGAGCAGGGATTGAACCCAGGCCATGGCAGTGAAAGCACAGAGTCCTAGCCACTGGACTACCAGGGAGCTCCCTAGACGACATACTTTCAATCTAAAGAGCTCGTCTTTAACTGTTTTCTGTAGTGGTGGTCTACATAGGAGTTCCTTTAACAAAAGGGGTGGATGCCAGGGAATTTCCAGGAGGTCCAGGTTCAATCTCTGCTAGGAAACTAAGATCCCTCAAGTCATGCAGCACAGCCCAAAAAAGGGAGGGGGGATGGTGGATGCCAATAAAAATCTAATACTACCGTACTGTTCCAAAGTCACTAATCTGGCCCTTTCACTTTATTTCTTACAAGAGAAATTTGAATTCTTGAAAGGCATGGTAATATGCCTGATAACTACCATTTATTTAAATAACAATGTTAGTGTTTACTATGAACTGTGCATTTTTCATTCGTTAATCCTCAGGCAATACGACTAGATTGATATTATTTTCCCTATCATATAGATGAAGAAAGATAGACTCAAAGAGCTCAAGTAATTTTTCCAGCATTACTCAATGATTGGTTAAATCATACTAAGGCAGGATTTAAAACCATAGACATCAGCTTCTAAGACTTGTATTCTTTCAACTATATCATGTTGCCTTTTACAGTTAGATCCTTAAGCATTCCTTTTTGAGACAAATAGTTACAATTCTTATATGATTTGCTTTTGCATATATATTTGCATAAAATATATATTTTTGTCATATATGCTAATATGTACAATATAATATAATATACACAAATTACAATTTTCTGCAGTAATCACAAATATGGAAACTCATGGTTTGTTCTGCTTGTATAATACAGTGCTCTACTTCCGTTGAAACAAAGCTGCAAATGACACTTCAAAGAGAAATTTAACCCATAGAAGTACATGTCATGGCACAAACAAAATTAAAAGAAGCATTTATTGAAATGCCTTCCTGTCCAGAGGACAGGAAACAGTTTTAAGATAATTCAGTAAAAAACAAAAGTTGGGGAACTCCGTGGCAGTCCAGTGGTTAGGACTCTATGCTTTCATTGCCAGGGGCGAGGATTCAAACCCTAATCAGGGAACTAAGATACCACAAGCCAAAGAGTGCAGCCAAAAATAAACAACACAAAAACCAGACTCTTGCGGCCTCGGTACCGGCAGTAATTCTGTTTTTCCGATGATAGGCCAATGACGTGAACAGTAATGGCATAGAGTGGAGGAGTGAGAACGATCGCCTCCTGGTGTGCCAGGTATGCCTCAAGCTGGCAGATATTAATGGCCCAACCAAAGTTCGAGACTTGCATTTGAAATGGACAGAAGGCATTGTCAATGAATTTTATGAGCAGGTAAGTTGAAACATGGGATTTGTGGGACTTTTAAGAGCTGCCATCTGAAGACACTGCCTTTTGGATTTGGATAGCTACATTAAATATTTGAAATGATTTGCTTTCACCAAAAATGGTTAGAAATTGTTGCATTTGCTCTGGTTTTAATATTGTCTCAGCTCCTTTGCCTTTGTTGCTAAAATTGAAAGACAAAAATTAAAAAAAAAGAAATAGCTTATTGCCAGTCTGGAGTAGGTTGAATGTACTCCAGTCTAGAGCTAGGGAAAGACTACATTATGATTCCAAGGTCCCTTTCAACCTTGAAAACCTATATAACCTAAGCATAATTTATTTCCAAAAGAAGTTGTTTCGGTGATTCAGCATATACTTAGACTGTATTTTTAAAGTATCAACCCATTTTCAACTCTGCTATAGAAAGACTGCCTCAGAAACATCAACTGGGTTGATGGGTTATGTAGGATCAAAGTCCTGGCAGAGGGTAAGAAACCAGAACTAGAAATGGGACAGAGTAGATACTTAGTGGCTTTCAAGGTTCTAAGATATAAACATGCTCTTTTCTCATGTGTTTTTAAGTGTTGTTTTTAAAATAACCCTACTATTTTGCAGTCTTTACCTATTTTTTGTACAATTTTAAGGCTCCCTACACTGTAGAAAAATACTGATTTCCCCACAAGTCCAATGTTACATTATCTCAAATACAAAATAACAAATACATACTCTTAACTGGAATTGTATTCCTTGGGAATCCTTACTAGACCCACTAATCAAGAAAGATCAAGATCTACCAAGTAAAACTTCTGGGCCAGGGCTTTCTCACCATGAGTTGCTACCCCAGTAGGAATGATGCACTGCACACTTACCTGTTAGACCTTGTCACACCCAGACTGTCCTGAGTGACCAGCAAATGCACCATGTCTTTCACCTACCTTAGCTAAACATCCCAGTAAAATAGTGTATACTCTGCTGTGTACAAGCTAAGAAAATACCATACTGTGCAATTATGAAAACAGATTAGTAAAATCTTAGTAATAATCTTAGAATAACTTTCACTGATACATTTGAACTAAATTATGTATAATTTTAAGAAATAAACAGTTATAAATATTTAATTTGTAGATTGCAGTATGTATAGTGGTTTGCATATTCCCATCCTCATTCTCAGAGATAATTAAAGACTGCCTCAGGCTTCAGTTCATGTTCACAAAAGAATTTTATGCTAAGGAAAATTCTGTCTTTATATTATCGGTGCAAACAGAAGTAATGAAGTGGTAGAAAGTGCCAGTTTTAGAAAATCCACTAATTCAGTGAAAGAAAATGAGATAATTTCATTTAGATGCATTTTATAATGTATCTTTAAAGTATAGAGATTAATTCTTATTAAGCAAACTTGGAAGCCATGCCTGAGGTTGAATCCTGGCTCTTCTTCATTACTAGCATTGTGGCCTTGGGTAAGTTACTTAACCTCTCTGTGCCTCAGTTTCCTCATTGAGAAAACAGGAATATTGATGGTACCTACCTCATAAGGTTGCTTTGTGCATTAAGTGAATTAACATATGTCAACAGTTTTCTGACACATGAGTGCTCAATAAACTATTATAATTCCAGGTCACACACACAAAAAAACAATATTTCAGACAGTTTCACTTAATCTTTCTAGGTTTCATTATTGCTGTGTCAAAGAAGAAAAATGATATACTTGATAACCCTAACACACAGTGGTCATGAAGGTTAAATGTATATAGGAAGTCAGCCCTCATCAAAACCATAAGATTTCCTTCTCAGTCTTCTTATACTATTCAACTTTCTTCAGATATGGATGTAAATTTCTAACCTTGCTCAACTTTTTACTTTTCTATTAACTTTATTATACTGTCTTTATTTATACTCCTATAGCCAATACATCAGGCTTCCCTGATAGCTCAGTTGGTAAAGAATCCACCTGCAGTGCAGGAGACTTTGGTTCAATTCCTGGGTCGGGAAGATCTGCTGGAGAAGGGATAGGCTACCCAACTCCAGTATTCTTGGGCTTCCGTGTGCCTCGGCTTGTAAAGAATCCTCCTGCAACGTGGGAGACCTGGGTTCGACCCTTGGGTTGGGAAGATCCTCTGGAGAAGGGAAAGGCTACCCACTCCAGTATTCTGGCCTGGAGAATTCCATGGACGGTATAGTCCACAAGGTTGCAAAAAGCCACGCATTACATGCCATGGGCTCAGAAAAGCCAAACTCCTATTTAAAAGTCAAATGTATGAAACTGTAGAATCCTATGGATAAACCCACCTAGATATGTTTTTTGAAATATTATTAATGTTCATCCTCCCAGGAAACAAAGCCATGTAAGCTTTTAAATCTCGGGACAGTTTCTGGTTGTCTCCTGAGGACTGTGTTGGCTCAGCAGATACACACTGCGTGCCTGCAGAACTTGTGCACTGTGCAGATTCCCACCCTCCACCGGTTCAGATGCTCGGCACTAAAAGGTTAATGCTGTCTCTGCCATTTGAGGACTGCTCCGCGCCGTGCCCAGTGTGTCCTGCCTGTTGCCTGCAGCGACCCTGTAGATGACTACTCACAGCTTACACAGGAATTAGGCATAGAGCTTGCCCAGCACCACACAGGTTGTAGGCAGCAAAGGAGGTTCTGAAATCACACGTGTCTGATCTCCAGCTGTGCTCTCCAGAACCCTGGGGACCATAGATCTCTCTGGCCAGGCAGTTGGGGCAAATCCTCACCTCAAACACAATTGCTCTACCTCTGTCTGTTTTACATACTGAGTTTTCTGATTTAGATTCATTAAAGGGTTCTGCTGTTACAAAAAAGGGGAGAAGATGTTGAAAAGCATTAGAAAAGTCACCTCTACATTTGAGGTACAACTGCAGCAAAAAATGTTTATATTATAACATCTCCACCAGGGGAAAGAGGATCTATGTCGGATACTACAGAATTTTGACCATTTATATAGAATTTATATATTCTAGTAATATAATTTTGATTTGTTCTTAACTATTTGCTTAATTTAGTTGAAAAGATGTATATTTTTCTTGCTGCCTGGAATATCAACCATACTGGTTGACTGGGAGTGTGAGAATAAAGTCTTGTTTAGGATTTTTCAAATAATAGAAAAAGTTTTATAGTTGGAATGACAGAGTGATTTTCATTGATACTTCTTTCTAAAAATTATTTTGAGTTAGACTGTTCTTGATTTAAAAAAACCTCAAGGTAATTTTAACAACAAAGCTCAGTGGTCCTTTCAACAGTTAAAGATGTACTTTCCTTTTTAATATGATCAGGGAGATGAAGAAGCAAATCTTGGTTTGCCCATCAGTCCCTTCATGGATCGTTCTTCTCCTCAACTAGCAAAGCTCCAGGAATCTTTTATCACCCACATAGTGGGTCCCCTGTGTAACTCCTATGATGCTGCTGGTCTGCTACCGGGTCAGTGGATAGAATCAGAAGAGGACGATGATACGGAAATTTGTTATGAGGAAGAAGATGCTGAAGAATTAGATACAGAGGATGAAGAAATAGAGGACAATCTAAATCCTAGTAAGAATACAGGGATACTGTCGTTTCTTTAATGTTGTTAATTGCAAATGTCCATTTAATTTGGATTGGGTCTTTCCTTTTAAAGATACAGTAGTTATATCTTAAGTAAGTACTATCTAAGTGTGCAGACTGAATAATCTCGTTTTGAGTAGCTACTGCTTGGGTACCATGTGAATGCTATCATACAACAAGCATTCTGAGTTAAAGCAGCATCTCCGGAGATGCTGTCCTCCAGCCAGTGCTCTTGAGCAGGCTCTGCCTGTGCACGCATGATGGAGCTGTTGCCAGATCTGATTTAGGTGAGGTGGCTGGTCTCAAGGACTAGTCCTCCTTTGCCTAACCCCTTCCCACACTATGCACCCCTGTCAACATACCCTTCATATAGACTTGGGAATAGTTCACTCAACCCAGTTGGGAGAAGAGGAAAATACATACTCTCTTGACTCTGAGGAAAACCAACTTTATGGCATTATGGCTTTAAACTACCAAATTGTAATGCATAGTTTTTCTATATAAAGCAATATAAAGCAATGAGTATAAATGGAAAATGAAAAAGACATTGTTACGTTTGCAACTATAAATTAGTTATTTGCTCTTTAAAGTAGGATTTAAATTATATCTAGCTTTTTTTTTTTAAGCTGGTTTTTTTGTTTCCCAAGCATACTATATAAATCAGAACAGATAAGATAGCGTGGAACAAGATAATAAAAGAACTTTCCCCCACCCTATCTTGTATTCAGGAGTAGCATAGTGAAGAGTGATTGTATGGTATTACCATCTGATGTCATCTTGGGAAATTTGACTTGTAAAAATTATTTATACTCACCAAAATTTTGACAATTGTGTTTAATTGAACACATTAAAAAAAACCCCTTAGAAGGATAGTTTTTAACTTTGCATTGTTATTTATCATTTGAAATTTCAATACTATCCTTTCTCCCCACAACACCCACCCCACCATCTTCCCTCATACCCTATTTTTATCCATAACACTTAACACTATCTAACACACGAGTGTCTTGCTTCTTTGCCTATCTAGGTCTTCCCAGTAGAAAGAGAGCCCCATGTGCAGAGATTATTTTAATCTTAATATAACTTTAACCCCAGTGCTTAAATAAATGCCTGGGATGTAACAGGCGCTCGGATATTTATTGAATGATTGAATCATATTGCTATGATTAGAATACACATGTGTTAAATTTCACAGAACCACAAAGACGGAAAGGCAGACGGCAAATATTTTGTCAGCTAATGCACCATCTTACTGAAAACCACAAGATATGGAAGGAAATCATAGAGGAAGAAGAGAAATGTAAAGCTGATGGGAATAAACTGCAGGTGGAGAATTCTTCCTTATCTCAAGGAGATGAGATTCAGGTCATTGAAGAAGCAGATGAAGAGGAAGAGAGACAGTTGGAATAAAAGAAAAGGCATGTGAAGAAGTGCCTTGGGCCATGCCTTATGTCGACGTCATTGCCCAGCGCTCACCACGCTGACTTGAACTGGCTGCTCCTAGGTGGACAGGCCCTGACACTGTGAGAGGACCCTTGCTGTGCCAGCATTTCCCACTCCCATGCACTTTTTCACCACACGGACGAAAAGTATCCTTAAGAGCTTGGTTTCAGTTGACTTGTATTGCCAGGCCCATACTCAAGTGCTTTTACTGGTGTAGAAATACTTTGTCCTAATACTGCTTTGCTGAGTAAAGGCTTTTATTGTTCATGAGGCAGGAGCTGTACCTAAAAACTCAAGTAATTCACTGTAGTTTCCTAAGTGGCCAACTTTCTGCTTTCTTAAAGATGTGATTTTAAAAAAAGAAAAAAACAACAAGGGAGTTCCCTGGCGGTCCCCTGGTTAGGACTCAGCGCCTTCACTGCTGTGACCCAGGTTTAATCTCTGGTTGAGCTCAGTTCCTGGTCAGGGAACTGAGATCCTGCAAGCCGCACAGCACAGCCAGAAACAAACAAAAAACCCCAAAACAAAAATCCCCATAAAACAGGATTCATATTCTATTTCCAAATGTGTCTTTTATGTCTTTGACTGTTTTGGGGGGGGGGTGGTGGGGAGGAGCAGTCTCTGTCTATCTAAAAAGAGAAATCCAGTGTTGCCTTTCTGAGGGGTCTGTTTAATGCAGTACACTGTTCAGTGTTCTCCAGCTAGGTTTATCCATGAAGGACTGAGTAACCTTTGTTATATTTAACAAAACCCAGGTGCATCAATTTTTGATGCTTTTTACTGTTTTGTTTTTTACATCTACTACTACGTGTATGTTCTTTCTCAGAGTATTCAGGTTTGCCATGGACATCAGAAGTCTGAATTCCAGTCTTATCAACTTTATATTCCATGGTTGAATTTTAAAGCTGTTTAGGTTTAACAATGAAGGAATTTTATTTAGTCAAAACTGTTCTTATTTTTACTCTTGCTCAGGATTAGTATTTGTAAACATTAAGTTTAATATAAACACAAATTTGTCAGAAGAAAAACAAAAACCTGTCCTAATATTGATGTTAACCTTTTATGAAACGAGCATTATTCTCTCTTCTGGAATTTGAGACTAATTAAAGCCAAGGAAAAGGAGATGTCTGTCTTTTGCCTTACTACAAAAATCAGATGCAATTAATCGTATCAAAGATAAAGAACAAATGAAATAGTGTGTGCTCTAAAGGTCACATGTTGAGTAAGTAATTGAATATGTGCTTAATCTTTAGATCCCTATCTTGGGTGTCATGTGTTTAGTTACTGTAAAACCCATGTTCATCTTTCTGTTAATTTCCTTCTGCCTTGAGACTACATGACAGAAGTGACCTGTGACTACTCAGTACATCTGGAGCCCAACTACAAGTCTAGTTTCTGAGATAAAGTAAATGATGGGTGTACTTATTTAATTTTTATATTAAAAGCATTAAATATTTTGGTAATAGCATTTACACAAAAGCACATTAAGATAATTAAATGAACCCTATTTACAATGTTTATAAACCTGTTAGGGTCCAGATATATACCCTAGTTGTGAAAATTTTTTGAATATATAAAGTGCAACCAGAATGATGGCAAGATGGTAGGCCAATATTTTCCATTATTCTTAGAGACCATATTTTGAATCCATGTGGCTTTGGAAAATAAGTTGTGTAGCAGTTTTCATTTTCCAAGATAATTCCTTTTTTAAAATTAATTTTTATTAGTGTATGGTTGATTTATACTGGTGTGTTAGTTTCTGCTGTATGGCAAAGTGAGTCAGTTATACATATACCCACTCTTTTAGATTCTGTTCCCATATAGGTCATTACAGAGTATTGAATAGAGTTTCCTGTGCAAGGTAATTCCTTTAAAGTATGATGTCAACAAGCAGTTTCTTAACTATCTAGATTATATAGCTTATCTGAAAGATATCAGTTAAAGACCCATGGAAGTGTTGAAAGTTTTGATCCTGTATAATATCAAAATATTTAATGAATCACTAAGCTTTATTTATTAGATACTTTGAGTGCTGAACTTCCTACTATTTTTGCTACCATTGTCACATCATTGTAAGCTGGTCCTTCATTACTGAGTAATAAAATTTTATCTAATTTATTGAGTTTGCCCTTACAGTGTATATATCCTTTGCTTCTGTTTCTCTAGAGTATATTTTCTATCCTGCAGAAATATATTTCTGCTACTGCAAAGTACATAGATATATATATAAATTCACACACATGCATATGTACATAATGAGACAAATTTCCTTACTATTTTACTAAAACATTGTATTGGGTTTTTTAATGTATATTTTTATTTTCTCAAAAGAAGCATGTTTTTATGCTATTAAATGATATTACTGAAAACTCATTTAAGTTAACACTTAATTATTTAACCTTTACTAAGTAATTGACATTTATTAAAATAACCCAAATACTAAAAAGTATTCTTCCTGAAACTTAAATTCATAAATTGTAAGAAATGAATGTGAGTGTATGTTAAGTATAAACAGCACTAGTAGATGGAATCTTACTTGAGAAATTGTAGCCAGTCATATTGCAGGTCCTATTTTGGTTATTAATGAATGAGACTAATTTTTTAATTAGAATCATTTTCATCATGAATTTGCTGTTTTAAGTCACTGGTCTTATAAATAATCTTGTAGTGCTATAATATCCCTGTGTTTACTGACATTTTTCTCCATAAAAGGTTACTTTTTAAAGTTACTTCATAATTTGAAGACTGTTCTCCTGCTCTTCTCACTCTGCTGATGCTGTTGGATTTTTCTACTTATTTTTATAAGAATCCTAGGAATTCTGGCACTGCTTCAGTCTCTGTCTATATTGCATCATCTCATAGGAACAACCTTCACAAAAGAGATGAGTGGAGCCAACCCTTTCTTTACTGGAGCTGCCAGGCCAGTCAGCAGCTCTAGAGGGTGTTTGTTTGCGGGGAAGGGGGCGGTGACTGTTTTGTGGAGCAGGGATGAAAGTGTCCCAGAGATTTTAATGCTGAGAACTGAAGACTTCATGAGTTAGCTCGGAGGTGATGCCTTGTGGACAGAGAATAATAGCGTGTGTAGAGGCCAGGAGAAGAGAAAGCATACCCACCTTGGAGGAGCCAAGAGATTTAGGGTAGCTGGGACTTAAGAGTGCAAGAAGTAATGGTAGAGAGAAAGTGGTTAATGAAGGGCCTTTTAAAGCACAACAGGACACTTAATTTTTCCCCATTTTCAATTTTTCAACTTTTCCCCTTTTCCCTTTGGAATAAGTTTAATCTGTAAGTGACAATTAGATTCACATTTTGTGAGGATCATTCAACTAACATACCATGTTGAGTGGAAGATTAAGATTGGATATGGGGAGACCTCAGTGATCTAGATAGACTAGGATGGGTTGTAGGACAACAGCAAAGCAAATGGACTTGAGATACAAAACAGAATCAATTTGCCCCAATTAATTGGATGTGATGGTAAGAAAGATGATGAGAGTGACTTTCAGGTTTCTGATCTGGACAACTGTCAGTGTTATTCACTGAGGTAGGGTATGCCAGAGAAGGAGATTTTGGATGTGATACGTGTTCTGTGAGGTGTGTACGTGTTCTGTTGGTTCTGTCTCTCTCTCTCTGGAGAACTTTGACAAAATTGCCAAACACAAGGAAACAAATGTAAGAAAGAATAGCAGAAATAGCAGATTTAGACTTCCCAATATCTTCAGATTATATATCACATTATCAAGAACAATGCAAAATAATGATGTATGAAATGTTTAAGGAAAAAAAAAATGGATTGACAAAAGTGAACATGCAGTTAGAAATTTAAAAACCACCCAAACTTCTCAGTACCAACAATGGAAACCAGAAAAGGCTACATTATCTTCTCACACTCACAATGTGTTAGGTGTTATTCTTAGTGATAACTTCAATATGTGATTAAAAAAAATATGTAAGATACTTATATCACAATCCTTTTAATGTAGGTATATTTTTGTCACAACCTTTATAGATATTATTATCTGTTTTGTAGGGAGGAAATTCACCAGGTACATAAAACAAATGTACTTATCTGTTAGTCTCAAAGATGCATAAATCAAAAGTTGGTAGAACTAGAGAAAATTGACAAATCTACAACTCAAGCAGGAGACTTAACAGTAAGTTAAATAGACCAGAAGTTACTAAAAATACAAATAGCACAATGAACAGTCTTGATTTGTTGGACATACCCTGAACCTCAAGTCCAACAAAGAATATTTTCTTAAATGTTGAAGGAACATTTATAAAAGCTGACCACAGGAACTGTATTCAATATCCTTAATAAACCCTAATGGAAAAGAAAAAAGTTGACTACATGCTTGTCTATAAAACAAGTTTCAATAAATTTCAAATATGTATCAAACAAACCATGTTCCCTGATCACAAAACAATTAGTTAGAAATAAATAGCAAAGAACTCTGAAAACAATGAATGCTGGGTAGATTTAAGAAATTGCTCCTAAATAACTTCAGAGTAAAAAATGCTAATAGGAGGGCGCTAGTGGTAAACAATCTGCCTGCCAATGCAGGAGACGCAAGAGATGTGGAGTTCGATCCCTGGGTCTGGAAGATCCCCTGGAGAAGGAAATAGCAACCCACTCCAGTATTCTTGCCTGGAAAATTCCATGGGCAGAGGAGCCTGGCGGGCTACAGTGCTTGGGGTCATGAAGAGTCAGACACGGCTGAGCACACACATGCACCCATTTCACAGGTGAGGAAAATAAGACTTGCCAGAGGCCACATGACTGGAGAGTGAAAGAAAAGGACAAATGGGAAAGTTGGCAAGGAACTTGAGAGAAAAGTTACGGCCCTTTCTTTCTCACCAATGTAGGTCAATGACCTTTCCCTCTTGGCCTGTTGCTACAACTGAGAACCTTGCTCTGAAGAGGTCCTTGGAGTTCTCTACTATGAAATGTTCTCATTTCCTTTCATAGC